GACCCAGGGGGTGGCCACGGGGCCATGCCCCCACCCTTGGGCCCCGAAGGGGCCCATAGGCTTCAAAGGGGCGCATAGTCAATCGAGCAGGTGTATTTTTTACACAAAACGCACGAAATTGGACATCTTTGGACTTCCAAGTGACTAAGAACAGTTGAGAGCGAAAGTGAAGGACCCACGAGAAGAGAGAAAAATCTGAAATGATTGAAAAAGCTGTTGGTTGGGAATTTCAAGCCTTATTACGCTGTCCAGGGGCCATGCTGTTTCCGGGGAACCTATGTGCCCACTTCCAGGACCACTCAGATAGTTAAGGAGCCTTCCACGTTGTTCTTGATTTCTTTGTGCTTGCTCGGAGGGCCCTGCACTGTTGCTAGGCACGTCCTGCTAGCGTGCCGGGGCGCTCTTCTCAACCAAGGGCCTTCCACGAATTCTTTCCATTCGCCAGAAATGCTCTGGAGGCTATAGCTTGGCCCATATGTTTAACCTATCGGGGTATTCCCGGTTTATCAGCGGCCCCTTTACGATGGTCTCGGTTAACCTAACGACACACTCGCGATATGCTCATGGGCCCCCCGCATTGATCTAAGACGCCTCCAATTTTATGTCACTTGCTTGGGGCCCTACGCTCTTGTCGCGGCCCCATCTGTTAACCTGCTCGGGCACTCTGGATTGTTTGGGGGCCCATCACATTGGGTATTTTAATGTAGGGCCCAACGCTCTTGACGGGGGCCTATCTGATACCTGCTTGAGCAAAGTCGATCGTTCGGGGGCCCTCTACATTGGGCCTTACGTACGTCCCATTTGAACGGGGGCCTTACGTACTTGTTGGGGGGGGGGGGGGGGAGCTCTGCTTGCCTCTTCGGCCACACTGGATTGTTCGGGTGCCCTGCACACTGCGTCTTGATGCTTGAATTTAGGGATCTACGCTCCTATCGGGGCCATCTGATAACTTGCTCCGATACACTCCATCTTTCGGGGCCCCTCTGCACTTCGTTTTGGGGACCCTTTATTTGAATGAAGGGCTTTACGCTCTTGTCGTGGCCTCTTCTGATAAGCCGCTCGATTCGATTGTTGGGGATCTCTGTGTCGGGTCTTGGGTACTTTCTATTTGAATGGAGAGCCCTACACTCTTGACGGAGGCCCTATTTGTTAACATGCTCTGGCGCGCTCTCTGCATCGTGTCGTGGATATTTAATATTTGAACGAAAGGCCCTACGCTCTTGTCGGCGGAGCCATCTGTTAATCTGCTCAGACACACTCCAATGTTTGGGGGCCCTGTATATGGGATCTTGGTATTTGAATTTAGGGTCCTACACTTCTGTCGGGGCCATCTGATGATCCGTTCGGATACGTTTCATCTTTCAGGGGCCCTCTGCACTGGGTTTTGGGTACTCCTATTTGAATGGAGGTCCCACGCTCTTGACGGGGGCCCTATGTGTTAACGTGCTTGGGCACTGGCCCTGCGCTCCTGTCGGGAACCGCATCTGTTACCTGTTCGAGCACTCTCGATCGTTCCGAGGCTCTCCATGCTGTATTTTGGGTACTTCTTATTTGAATAGATGGGTCTATATCATTGGTGGGCTCCATCTATTAAGCTGCTCGGGCTGGTGGCGGACACAGACGGGGAGGGGGGAGGGGGCGAAAACACGGAACCATGCCCCCCCCCCCCCTGGACCATACCGAAAGGACCTACAGGCTCCAAAGGGGCTCATAACCGACGGAAAAGACGCAGTTTTCTAACTAAACAACACAAAAACAACAAAATTGGACGCATTTGGGCCTACAGATGACCAAGAACGGTTGCTAGCAAAAGTGAAGAGTTCATAAGCAGACAAAGTTAATCCTTGGCTGATTGCAAAAATGTTGTCAGGGAAAATTTTGAAGCTCATTACGTTGTTCAGAGACATTACGCTGTTGCATGGACCCGATAAGTCTACTTGCCGGGGCAATCTGATCACTAAGGAGCTTTCCACGATGCCTTTGATCTCCTAGCATTGTCTCGTGGAGCCTGACGCTGCTGTCGGGACGCTATTTGCTTCCATGCCTGAGCATTCTTGACCAATCAGGTTTTCCTCCACTGATTCTTCCCGTTAGCCCGAAAGGCTCTATATCTTTTTACCGGGTCCCCAAATGCCAGGGTGCACTCAGCTGCTCAGGGGACCTCCATATCAATCTCAGGTTCTTTCCACTTGCTCGGAGGGCCTTGTGCTGTTGCTGGGTAGGTGGTGTAAGGCACTGAGACACTCGATGCTCAGGGGCCTTTTGCTTTGATCGGGAGCTCTTTCCCTTTCATCTCATTTGCGGAGAACTCTTCACTCCTGTCAATGCTCTTGCTGTTAACCTGCCTGCGCACTCTTGATCGCACCAGAAGTATTAATTCATGGTCTCGGTCAATTTTACGTTGCTCAGAGGGTCCTGTGCTCTCGCGGGAACCCTTTATGTCATCCTGTCCAGGCACTACCGACTGTTAAGGGGCCCATATTGTTAGTCTCATGTGTTTTTTTTCTCGCTTACTCCGAGGACCCTATACTTGTTGACGGGAGCCTGTTTTTTTTTTGCCTCTTGTGGCATCCATGGTCCCTCAGGTCTCGTCCCTATTGACCTTGGTGCCTTAGCCCGACAGCAGGAGTCGGATATGTGCGATTAATTTTTACGCGCACCTGTCGGACGCAATCTTACATGTCCCCGGCGTCGTATACGTCATTTCCATTTGCTATTGAGCGTGAGACTTATCATACTTATGCACCACGTTTTTAACACATTTTGAATACTAGGGTTTCCTGTACTGCTTTAAAACAAAGGAAAATTATACATTAGTCATCAGCCATCGGCTGATTACATTGCCCAGCCAGCTAGCCGTAAATAAACTAGAAATAAAGGGTGTGCTTGGTTTTGATGGTATTTAGGAACCAATTTGGGTTAATTTCGCCCGTTTGTCCTAAGCACTTAGCCTCAAAATCACAACATTTAACACGAACTGTAGAAAATGAATGGGCTCTGCATGTGCATCCGTAGCACACCTAGCTGTATAGGGCTGCGCACGGTTCAAAGGGCTCTCGTATTTATTAAGCACGTGTGTATATATATATATATATATATATATATATATATATATATATATATATATATATATATATATATATATATACGTATATATGAGCATATGTTGTGCCTTATTTATAGAACAAATTATTGGCCGAAATGCAAGGAATTTTTTGGAGCGGGTCCCAAACTTTTTGGAGGCCCTACAATGTTTCACCCCCCCCCCCCCTCTTGACGATATCCTGGATCAGCCCCTGACTCCAGTAATGAAATAGGGTGGGGCCGCCTTGTGCTGTCGACGGAATCGTCAATTATCGCCCACCACCCGCGTCGGCCGTAGATAGCTGTGCACTGTTTCACATTCAGGGGAACACAGGGGTCTGATACGTGGGCCGAAGACCACGACACTGACTAGTGCTGGGTGGAAATAGGAAACAGGGGTAGTGCAAGAGCCGAGGTTCATATTGTAATTTGGGTAAGTATGAAATAAACATCTCTTCACAATATATGTTGACGATTTCTATTTTGGCCATCCTCGTCATGCGCTGTAATGTACTGCGCCACCCTTTTCTTGTCATTCCTGTCCTATCATGTCATCTCCATCTCTGTCCTGCCTTAGGACAGGCTGTTCTACCCTTAGAGTGCCGATAGTGTAGTGGTTAACTCGTCTGCGTTAGCCCCTGCACGTCTGGGAAACCAGAGGTAAGAAAAGAGGTAAGAAAACCCGCGGTGCCCGTCCCTCTTGCCAGGGTGGGAGACAGGCGACGCAATACAGCCTCAGCAGCTGAGTGTGTCGTAAAGTCCTGACGGTCTGATTGTTGTGCTACCCTGTGATCTCCTGCCCTGTGCTGTTATCTTCTCTTCTTTCCTATTCTACCCTGTCCTCTCTCACCCTGCTCCAGGCGCCAACCTGTCTTATTCTCTTTGTCTTGTTGCTACCTATCCTCCATCTGCTGTCTCCTGGCCGTCATGTCATCGCCAGTGATGGTGAAAGATTAGGGGACGAGAAATTGAAGATTGGGGGATGGAAAACAAGATTTGTCACTTTCTTTATGTGCAATGTATGTCCACGTGTGTGCTTACCCCGATCTACTTTTGCCTGCAGCATTGTCGTTTTTTTTCAAATCCACCGAAGCAAAATGCCATGTTTAGTTCAGGTTGTTTCCTCTAGATTTCATTTTCAACCCTCCAATCCTGGTTGTTCCCGCGATCTCAGCGTCGTGGTCAAGTCCATCTCCAAGAGAGCCAAAAATTGTTCGACAGTGCGTTATGGTAAAAAAAATTTCATGTCTGTTCACTTTTCCTATTTTGCGGGTTCCTGACTCGTTCTTGTCATGTTCCGTTTTGGTAATATCTCGACAGCACCTACTTCTCTATTCCTGCCACATCTGTAATATTCTATACATTTTGACAGTCAATTTTGTGTTTACAACAGAAGCTGCCTGGGGACACGGTAGGAAAGCTTCTCTAATTTGGTAGCTTTGCAGCACATGCTTGCCAGAAGTGCCGTATGTCGATATGTCTATATTTATGTATACATGTCGATATTCATGTCTGTCGGAATAGTTACGCTGTTGGTGTAGTAGAAGCGCGCTACCCTCGGTATCCATAACCTAAGGGGCTTTCTTGGTTTTATCAAAACAAGGAACATCAGTCCGGGGAAATTGAATTAGAGGCCCGTGTTACCGGAAATCTGAAAGCGAAGCACGATGAATATGACTGGAATGCGACCAGGGACGTAGTTACACAAAATAAAAACTGGGGAGGGGATGAACAGTGAAAACGACCCGAACAAATGGAATGACCACAACAAAAGACACAAACAAACTGGTTCCACCCCGGATCTGGCCAATTTCCTTCTCAAAATTGGGAAATATTGATCATTTGTAACCCATAAAAAATGGGTTTATTTCAGCATCTCAAAAAATTTGAAAATTTCGCGGCCTATAATTCCAGCCAAATGTATTAAGTGCTTCAAGAGCTTTTTATGGAAGCTCCAGCAAGCCTCTGCTTACCGCTCTTGACGATGCGATACGTCTCTAGCATGTGACCACACGATACTTGTTCACATAACCAATTGTGCAACGGCGATACACAACATAAAATCCCAAGGTCACCCCAAGGTCGTTAAATACTGCTAGGTGTATTCTCTTAACGGTATACTCGCGAGCGGAAATGCACATCCGGGCACCACCTCTGATCTTCGCGTGTTGTGATCCGTCCGAGACAAGGCACCATAGCCAACAAGCCATCACACTCAAGGCCAAATGCGGTATGGATTTTCCTATGCGGTACGGTTTCATTCGAAGGCCGCAATCCCCTGCTTCTACTGCTTATATCTCTTATGTTGCCTACTTCTCTTGCTCTTGCTGGGCGAAACAATACATACAACAAACGGCTAGGCGCCCCGTGCCCAAACTGGGTGACCTCGCCGGGGGTATCAGCTGTCCTCTCCGTGGCCAGCCCGCGCTCTCCCCCGCCGTGTCCGCCAGTGTAGTTGCGTCGCGTCGGCCGGCCGCTCGCCGCCGCTTCGTCTCAGCTCTTCTGCGCGTGTGCGGGTGACCACGGCACCGGACCGCTAACGACACCGGACCGCACACAGCACCGGACCACACACAGCACCGGACCGCACACAGCACCAGGCCACTCCAAAGCCGGAGCTGTCCAGTAACTGATCTTCCCAGGTACGCACCTACCCAGCACCGAACCACTCCAGTTCCAGACCTCACCAGCGCCGCGCACCGCCCCACGCCGGACGCTGTCTTAATGTGCGGAGTGTCACGTCTCGGCGAGCACGTGTGACTGCGCCGAGCCGAGCCGCGTGGAGGTGCGGCCCGCGCGGCACGATCCGCTACTGCGCGAGCGCTCGGCGCCGCCGGCCGGCGGACGAGCGCCGCTGCTGCGGGGTGTTTGCGGTGGAAAAGTGCGCGGCTGCCTGCGTGTGGCGCGCCGTCGCGGCCTGATGCTCCTGTGAACAGCTCCGAGAGACGGCGGACGCAGCAGGCAGCCGCGATGGGAGAGCCCTTGAACACCGCCCCAACGCTGGGTGACAAGCCCAAAGGTCAGGCCAAGGGCAGGGAGACGCTACGCTGGTCTGTGAGGACGGGCGGACGGTGCGTGCTCCATCACCCCAGAAGAAAGCATTGCGCGTGCTTGTGTGGGTGTCGCACGAGGGGCATAGGCATAGGAGCAAGCAGAGCGGGCCATCCGCCGCCCGCCTGAATACTTGACATAAACAATGCAATGATGCACGCCAATACATTATTGGCATGCATTATTGCATTATATTGGCAATTTACACTAGATTTATGGATAGCTGTTGGCATCACTGATCAAAATGACGATGATTGACAATATGATGGTCTCGCTTCCATGCCCTGCTGAGGTCCCCCGTATTGACGAAATTGCACTCTGTTCTCTCTTAAAGGACCCTTCTAATCAGCTAAGAATTACTGTAATCAGATCATTGGCATTCGATCTTTCCACGGGACCATTTCTGGCCACTAAATGTTTGAAGACGTTGTTTGCAACTTGTTTGTGTTGTATTTAAAGAAAATGCGTGCGTTCGATCAGCTCTGAATTCCCTCGGAACCCAGAGGGAAAGAGCGGCGAGGCCCTCCGTCCCCCCCTTAGGAATGTCCTTTTAAAGCATATTATGACGCTGGGTAACGCCCGTTTTTGGCAGTTTTCACATGTTTTACCATTTACTATTTACGCATTTCCGGGCAGCCATTTACGCATTTCCGGGCAGCCGGGCAGCCATTTCCGTAGGACAACCTACGACAGATGTAGACATACGCAACTTTTGAGAAACGTGAACACATTCGTCCTACACATAAAAGCGGGTCAAGTCGCCTTTATTGGAGGAGGGGCAGATGAATATCCAGCGGACCAATTAATATCCAAGGCAGGCAGTTTTTTGAAAGTTTATTTTCTGCTGTGGTGTGGTATATATAATTATAGACTATTTACAGCATCCTGCCGTGGCCCTAAGCTGTGGAACGACATGATGGTTCCATATTTTCCAAGAATAGCTGATATCCCTGTATCGAAAACCATCGTTAAGAACATCATCCGCAAGCATTTCGTGAACACATATTAACGTAACAAACATATTTGAAGACATTGCCATCCTTGTGCTGTACGTATCCAACGCACTTCATATTTGACCTCCTTCATGTTTCATAATCAATTTCTGATATAAAGTCATGCACATATACCCAAATTAATGGCGCTGGCTCCGGGAGTTCTCCCAGCAACAAGCTCTGCTTAGCTGGGTGGACTCCCTGGAAATCCAGCCCAAAACCCAGCACAAAAATGACCAGGTAATTGCCCCCTCCGACTTGTGACTGTATAACCCTTACTAACACCGGGAATTGAGTGGTTGTAGATTATTGGGCGGTTGTAGCGGGCTGTCATTAGCTGATTTTGGCTAATGACTACTTTAAGCCTTTTCATCTATGATTTTTCCCTCCCTCTCACATAACACAATTCCCTCGGGTCTGCTCCACCTCCTCGCCTGTTTTTTTAAGTTTGTTTCATCTTCCTAGCTGGGAGTGCCGCGACTTGATTTTATGTTTTCTGGTGTTAACGTACGGTTTACTGCGTCGCTGGGATTGAGGGATGGGCACTCCTGGTTACCTGTTCTTGGGTAACGGCGTATAAAAAATATATATGTATAAGACAGTGGTAACAGCCTGATTTGCCATAGAAAAAGAGGACAAGTTAGAGATAGAGAGCTATAGGTTAACACTGATTTCCGTTTCGATAAAGGCGTGCTGCCGAAATACCAACTGATCTATGTCTCTACTTTCTTTGTTTTTGGACTAGGGATCGGGCTATTACTACTGTTTTGTTTTTAAGTGGCATGCTCCCTGCAATAGTCCAATGGTTGACATTAATGGTCGTCTAGTTGCTGTTCGAGCAAATCATATCGCGGTATGTTCGCATTGCGCTAAAAAATAAAAAAAGTATAAATGACCACAGTTCGGAAATACGCGCTGCAGAAGGCATTCCATCTCCATAACGCACCAACAAGTAGTGATACTGATCCATAAACATGCAGAAGAGCAGTCGTTTTGCAGTCAGTTTGCAGTCAGTCCGCGGGGGACAGCTTCTCCAGGGCAATGGCTGCTGACGGCGGGCGGGGGCAGGGCTCAAACAAGGAATATCCCAAAAGGGACCTTCATTCTGTGACTCGCTTGCCACAGGAAAAATCGCGGGTTTGTAGCTTTTGTCACTTCGTCTCTGGCAGGTAGTATTTAAAGCTTCAGAATAGATCTCTGTCTAACACGCCGCGACCGCCGTACCTCTTGTAAAACGGTCGGCGAAATCGCTGCTCATGATAACTTTAGTGCATTTCATATAAACTATGCTGACAGATGTCTCCCCAGTGGGGAGAATATTTGCCCGTCAGTGGTATTTCGCCTCCCCGATAGAAACAGTATTGAAACAACGAGTAATTTTAGGAAGCTGTATAGTCTTATTTACCGAACGGTATAGATGAGTCGGGTAGGTAAGATTGCCCCCCCCCCCACTTTTTAAAGCCTTCCTACGTCTATGCCAATGGATCAGGTCAAAGCTCATTAAAAATGTCCAAACCACCAAAATTGGCTGAAGGCAGCCCCATGTCCCTAGCTTATGGAACCGATTGGTACGAAATATTTACGTATAAATACGATATGTTGGATTACCTATGTGTTATCCAGAGCTGAAATATCTTGGATCAGGTCAAAGGTCACCGATTACGACTAAAACTGTCAAAAACCAGTTTGCAAACGGCATCATACCCTCAGCGTTTGGAATTGGTCGCCACAAAATTCACCAATCGCTGCGCTTCGGTCGATTACCTGCTCTTTTCAGAAGATGGTGACTTTTGGGTCACTTCAAAGATTGCCAAAAACGCTCGAATCTGCAAAAAGCCAGTTCACAGATAACCCCTTACTCTCAGCTCATTGATCAGATCGCCACGATGCATTTACCAATCGACTCTCGAGGGTCGATAGCTTATTCCTACAAGAGGTAGTAACATTGGGTGGATACAAGTCACCAAAAAGCCCAAAAACAGACTTTGGCCTGACCAGTTTGGGACAGGATTCGGGCCTATTAACCACGATGCATTGATTGGTTAAGGTTTTGTGATGATCAGCTTCATGGGCTCGGAGTATGGGGTTCACTGCAAAATTGTATGTGTCAGTTTTGGTGTTTTTGTGGTCCTTTGACCCGACTCAAAGCCAACATCTTCTGCAAAGATAGTTTCTGTTACGTCGCATTGATAGGAGAATGCTCCGTGCGGACCGGTCCAATGCGCCTGGAGCATGGGGTCGTCTGTAGTTATTTTTGGTGCTTTCGAATGTTTTCGGTGACCTTCGACCTAATCTAAGGTCAGCGTCGTCTTGAAAGTTTAAGTTCTGACCATGGTGCAGCGATTGGTGACGATGTTCTAAAAATGTGTCCATGAACTTGCAGCATGGGTTTTCTGCAAGCTGTTTTTTGGTACGTGGCATTTTTGTAGCTTTCGACTTAAACCAATTTAACCGTCTTCTGCAAAGTCCAATTTGTTGACAAGGTGGCATCCAATATCTTATGTTTATGCCGATCAGCTGCATAGGTTCGGAGCGTGGGACTATAAACAGGTTTTGGCAGTTGTTTAGTTCCTTCTCCTTCTCAGCACAACTGTCTGCTGGAACCTGCGCGCGCATTGCGGGCGCTGCTACGCACGGCGTGCGGAAGTGGTTGGGTGGCCGTCGTGGTTAGGCGCCTGGCATCGTGCTGGGCGTGGATTTGCCGTTAGTGTCGCGAGTTGCGTCGGGGTCGTGTCAAGATATCTGCCGAGTCCGTGAAATTTTACTGGTGTGGCAGTACGAGTCATCGGTGGCCTTCCATTAACCAAGCAGCAAGTGCTTCTCATCTTGTAGTGCTGTGCGTGCCAGCGACTCAGGGATAGAGCAGGAAGGATATCCGTTGCTTAGCTCGTGTTAAGTGCATTGTGTTTGGAACAGTTCAGGCTGTTCCACATTATCTACCAGCAAGCAAGGCTCTGATCAAGTTCCTTCATAAAAGAGCAATGCTTAAGTTAGGCAAAATGCTGATAACAGAGACTCAAGTCTGTTCTGTGGAATAGGAGAGCTCCAGAGGGTCTTGTGGTGTATCACAATGGGTGAAGAAGGGTACTCCTGACATCCCTTACCAAGCGTCCAGCAAAATGTTACTGCTACTCATGAAGATGCCTGTACGAATGCGTACTAACTAGTTGTGATACTTATGTGCAAGAAATATTTTGCATTTTTTACTTTAAATGCTGCTGGTATTAGAGTAACAGTGTGTCACCATTGAAATGAAGTCCAGTGAAACAGCTACATCAGGATTCAGCAACATTTCATGTTGCAATGAAGAGCAGGCCTGCATCCATGGGGCTGCTGGGAGGTGGGTTTGGTTGCATAATTGTGTTGGTATGGAATGGCCCACTCAGGCAGTGGGCTTTAGTACATATAGGGAATAGCAGTCAACAAATTGTGTTTGTTGACATTCATTGTGTGGCCTGGGCTGACAAAGGTGTGTATGTATGATCATTGTGCCTGCAAGAATAGAAAGGATAAATATTGTTTGTACCTGGTATCTTGTGATGCCCATATTGTGATGGTTGTAAGAGGATGTTCATTGTAAAATTAAGTCAGAATTTTGTGTTGGCCAAACCAACTGATTTGTAGAAAATAAGGTGGTTAAGCTAAGATTTCATTCAATTATTCATGAAATGAAACCAGGCATAAGTTCACTTTTGCTGGGCTTGTACATGGGTGGAAGATTCTTTATGCCCTAGTTTAAACATCAGGATGTATTTTTGCAGGTGGAGATGCAAGGAAGGCTGCAAATGGAAAGAAACATAAAACTACTGATGGTGATGAGATATCTGTGGTAAGTTATTAATCCCACATCAAAGTCATGCTGGGCATATGGCTCCAGATTGTCAGAAGTCATGTCAGCTATTGAAATGTCAGACATTCACAACCTATTGAATGTTGATTTCTCAAGACACTTGGTCACCAGTCATTATTTTTTTGGATGGCTTCCTTAATATCTCATGAGGAACCTGCCCCCTGCCTGTGGGATGTCTCCAGCAGACCTGTCACAAGACTCAGTCTGGCTCACAGGATCCCCCATCTCTGAGAAGCCATGCCTTAGGGCTCATTCCATCCCACGTCGCGTGCCACCGACAAGCGGCTCGGCCTCGGAGCCCGTCTCAGGCGTCGGCCCGGCCTGCCGCAGGCGATGTTGGGCTTCGTCCGCAGCGTGCCGCGCACGGCGCTGGTCTGGCTGTGCATCGTGCTGACAGCCGGCCTGCTGCGCCTCGTGTTCCACTGGCGCCGCGACTGGATGCTGCGCTGCACGCACCGGCGCTGCCACCTGCGCGTCGCCTCCAGCGTCCTCGTCATCGTGAGTCGGGCCCGGCGGCTCCGCGGAACACGCCGGCAGGCTGCTGTGGTGGCGGGGCTCCTGCGAGTTGGGCCGGAGCAGGGGGCCACGGCGTCGGGCTGGGGCAGGGGGCCAGGGCGTCGGGCCGCGGCAGGGGGCCAGGGCATCGGGCCAGGGCAGGGGGCCAGGGCGTCGGGCCGGGGGGGGGGGGGGGGGTAGGGCGTCGGGCTGGGTAGGGGGCCAGGGCGTCGGGGAGAGGGCCGGGAGGCTGCTGCAGCGGGGGGACTTCTGCGAGTCGGGCCGGGGCGGGGGTCAGAGCAGTCTGGCCAGGGGCAGGGGGCCAGGGCATCGGGAGGAGGCCGGGAGGCTGCTTCAGCGGTGGGGCTTTTGCGAGTCGGGCCGCGGCGGGGGGCCAGGGCGTCGGGCCGGGACAGGGGACCAAGGCGTCGGGCCAGGGCAGGGGGCCAGGGCGTCGGGCCGGGACGGGGGACCAGGGCGTCGGGCCAGGGCAGGGGGCCGGGGCGTCGGGAGGAGGTCGGGAGGCTGCTGCAGCGGCGGGGCTTCTGCGAGTCGGGCCGGGGCAGAGGGCCAGGGCGTCGGGGAGGAGACCGACAGGCTGCTTCAGCGGAGGGGCTTCTGCGAGTCGGGCCGCGGCAGGGGGCCAGCGCGTCGGACCGGGACAGGGGACCAAGGCGTCGGGCCAGGGCAGGGGGCCAGGGCGTCGGGGAGGAGGCCGGGAGGCTGCTTGCAGCGGTGGGGCTTTTGCGAGTCGGGCCGCGGCAGGGGGCCAGGACGTCGGGGAGGAGACGGATAGGCTGCTGCAGCGGCGGACTCGCTTGTGTCCTGATTATGAAGTGCAGTGAAGATGTGGTGTGAGGGATATATTATGAAGCAGACCGCCCCCCCCCCCCCTCCCTTTCTGTTGTGGCACTACAATGACCACATTGGCCGCGCCGTGCTGCAGCCCCCTACTGAATCACTGCGGAAGCGAGCGCGCGTGCACGAGCGTGCGACGGCTGTGGGGAACCAAAAAGAGTGGTTGATGTGTTGCGAGGGTGACTGGTTGAGGATGTAAGTCAATATTCCACGTGGAATTTCTGTGAACGGTAATGCGCCTTGCGCGTCATGGGACGAGCTAGGCTATAACCGAGGGAAAATTGCCAGCTGTTATGTAGATGGTGCCGAACAGCTAAACCAAGAAGCCAGACAGGTTGGGCCGTCAAAATCAGCACCTTTCGTGGCAACATTTGTGCACTACTTCACAAATGATTTCTAAAGAATGGCTTGCTATAAGTCCGGTCAAATTCGGCAAGTTTAGACAAAAACAGCGACGATCTTTCGATGATTTGCGATTTTTACAACTGTGATTGAAGTAATGCGGGGGGTACTCTAGGGAGGGGGGGGGGACGATATTGGTCACAGTAAACAGGACTTCATGCCCGTGTGGTTGGTATGACCCAGTCAGTCTCGGCCTAGGCCACGGCTTCTTGCATGAACATTTGCTTCCAAAACTTGCCACTGACCTGTTGCACGGCCAGTAACTGGTGAATCTGTGAGTTGGGCAGCTTTCACATTTATTGGTGAGCTGTAGCCGGTGCGACGCCTACATCAGCAGCCGTGTGGTTGGTCTCACGGAGTTATCTACCCTGATGTTCATATCTGGCATATACCACAAAAAACACGACAGCAGGCGGGTGTATGCCTCGCGGGCGCGTGCACCTGTCTGTCTAACATATCGACCTTTTGTTTCGCTTGCTGGATTGTCGGTTTTCTCCCCTGTCAGGGGGACCATCTCGTCTCGCTGCGCCGCCTGATTGCCGAGATCTGGACCCGTTTTCGACGCGTGAAGGCGGTTTTTTCTTTCTACGTTGAATTTTGCGTTTTCCTGGGGCAAATGGGGGAAATAAAAATGCTGGGGAGGAAAATGTTGATGTCGCAATGTTACAACAATGCGCCGCCTGATCAGACAGCACGCTTTTAAGTTCTAAGAAATATTACGGTACAAGCTTTAACATGTTATGTTACGGGGCGCTAAATATTTTAATAGCCGGGCCTCGCCGCTGGACTGAAAGATTTCCGGTAAGCCGACGTCAAGATTGGCTGTGCCTGCAGCATCGCTGGCAGCCAGGCCGAGCTCAAGGCTTACTGGACGCTAGATTGGCGGAATTCGTCTCATCTCTGTAGTCGTGCGAGAAAGCTGATCAGATCATGGGCGCCTGACGCCCGAAAACAATCCCTCTGGGTCGTATATCGTTTATAGAACCCGTACAGCTTAGCCTTTTGTGACGCATACGTGCGCAACGAGGCTTCATTTTGCAAAAAAAGACGAGCAAATCGTACACTTCAGGTGACTCATAAGCGACTGGGGTGCACTCGAATGCACTGCGTGCAAGGCCACTGCGTGTTCTGGGCAGGCTATCACAAGCATGTAGGATTAACTCGCTGACAGAAGCGACTTTTGGTGGCCAATCCCCAGCGCATCGTGTCTAACCCACTGTGGCTTCTCGCATCGAGGCGATGTGTCGTTTCGGTGGTGCCCCCACTCATTGGAAATAACGGTTTAGTTTTGTAAAGCGTGCGGGCTTTACGGACAGTCGATCTCAGCTCATATGAAAAAGTTTAGTCATTCGGGAAGCCTAGCATGACAGCGAAAGAGTTGTATGTGATGCGCAGGCATGCGACCCGGTTTTTCACGGAAGGGATGGGGGCTCTTGGACTGGTCATTCCAATATAGATCATATGAAACGCAACGCAGTTGAAACATAACAATCGACAAAATTGAAATGCTTTAAATGCTTGGAAGCTGGAAATATTAGTTTCAGCTTTAATATCAGTCTTGTGCGTTTGACACCAAATATGTGCCAGTTCGTTTGACGACGGTATTTTTTGAATTATATATTGATGATGGTAGCCGTCGCCTTTGTGCTGTCTGACCCGCATTGGTTTGTTGGTGACTCGTCTTTCGTCTACACGGGCGTAAACGCGAATTTCCTTAGTAATGAGTTACTCGTGTCTCAATCCAGCTAAAAATCATGTAATCCTCCTGAATAATTGTGGGAAGGGGGATGGGACCGAGTCCCCGAATTTCCCATTTCCCGTTTGGTTTTGCGTCTAATGGCGCGTCTCATGACTGCTATTTTTGTCGGTCATCGCCTTCTTATCAGCACAAACAGTGGAACCCCTGATCCAACATGTCATTTGCAATCACTTATGAAATGTATACGAGCACGGGTGGTGCCCAGCCTGACGCACTCTGACTGTCCTGTGCGCGTCGCGTGGGGTTGTACTCGCTTTTACGTGCCGGATGATGGCAGTGACGCTTGTACGGGCTTCACATCCGTAAGCTGGCAAGAGCGCCACCAGACAAATCGACATGAAACATGGGCATTTTTCCAGCTCATTTATCAGGCAGCGCATGGCTCTGGCGTCCTGCCCCGTGCTGACGTCACGTGCTTTGACGCCACGGTCCGTTCCGCTGAGACGGCGCGGACAGCGGGACGGACGGCGCCCGAGCCGGCGGGCCGTCCGGGCCTGCCTAGGAGGACGGGCCGGGGCCGGGCCACGGCCACCCGACCGTAGCTCCAGGCAGCAGAGGCCTCGCGCCGGCCAGGACGGCTCTGGCCGAACCGCGGGGCTGAGCTCAGCGCCCGCGGCGCGCGGCAGGCCGCAGCCCCGTCGCTGCCCCGATGCGCCGATGCGTGGGTTGAACCCGGGTCGTGTTGCCCGAGGTGCCTGCTGCCCCGTTCTACCGCCGCGCTTGGCGCACTGTCATTGTCATGACATGTCAGGAGCGCCTCACTCATGTGTCCCTTGCCGTAATGTGATCGTTTACAGACGACTTCAATTGTACTGCGGAATCAGGGACATGTGTGGGCGATTTTTGTTCTACGTCATGCCCTGTCCTGCCCCACCCTGCCCTGCCCTGCACGCCCGATTTCCATTCGCTGCCTCGGGATCGGCACCGTATCTGGGGCGGGCAGTTGTCATCTCGCCATCGCTCACATGTGATTCGCTCAGTTGCCGGGAAATCAGAATCGATGTCCATGCACGTCCATATTGTGAAGCCATTCCACGTTGTCTGCTTCCCGCTGGAGACCTCTGTCGGCTGAAATTGGAGGGGGGGGGGGGGGGGGGGGGGGAGTGGATGGAGGGAGGAGCGCGTGTGACTGGTGGTTGGCCGTCCGACAGTGGTGTCTGTCATTGCAAAACCAAACATACCTCAGTTGCCTGCTTTCATGGAGCAGGGTGCTGACTGGGACGCTTGTTTTCAGTAACGTGTATCTTGTTATCTTGTTCTTAGTACCCAGCTACAGCACCGCTTACCACCAACGGCTACAGTTACAATTACACTGATTTTATACAGGGCGCAGCCACGTGGTGGCTGTTCTGCGCCTAGTCGTACAAGAAAAGGAACCCACAGACAGTGCACAAAGATGCACATATGCGCGTAGGTGAAAGCAGTTTCAGTCATTAAGTCAGCGCTTTAAAACAGTCAAGAATTCTCGGCGCGAAGGGGCGCGGACAACCGCCGCAGACAGCCGGTTCCACGCGGCGGCGGCGCAGTACGGAAAATGCCGCTGGGAGGCGCTTAGTCGGACGCACGACAGATGTAGCGAGCCGACACCGCCCGAAACAACCCGAGTTTGACGTTGAGAACACATGGCGTGCGTCAAGACTAGAGCATGCAGTGCGCCGGGGGATTCGGGGACGTGCAGTGCCCTGTACACGTTCTGGCAGTTCCGGTGGGGCACAAGATCCGCGACGCTACGCCAGCCGAGCGCTTCCAGAACGGGTGAAATGTGATCGCTGCGGCGGACACCAGCCACTAGCCTGGCTGCGAAGTGCATCGCCCTTTGCATCCTGGCTAGCCGTGCCCAGGCATGCTCGGCCGCTTCACCCCAGATGAACTGTCAGTAGGGGATGTGGGGAATGCGTGAATTTGGACGAGGAATTTCAAAACTTCAGGGGTAAGGTAGCGTCGAATTTTGAACAGGGATACGAGGATTGCATAACAGCGCTGAACGAGAGAGGAGAGAGATGTGGGGTTCTCAGGGAGTTGGTGGTCGCGGAGTACACTCAGTATCTTCACGAGATGGTTGATGAATGCCTTTGCCAGAAATAGTAATGTGGAAGTTCCCGGTCTTTGTGGCGGAAAGTTTGGTGCCGACCAGCATCAAGTCTGTCTTTTTGGGTTTCAGTTTAAGGCTTTTTGACTGAAACCGATTTTGAATAGTCTGAACGGACTCCTCGACACTGGCTTTTAGGTTAGACAGGCCGACGACATCGGGGGTAGCGGAGTCAAGGAGTTGGGTGTCATCGGCGTAGGATATGGTAGGCGGCCGTAGGGTAGGGAAACTGGATAGGTCGTTGATGAAGATCAGGAACAGGATTGGGACGATAGGGGATCCCCGGGCCAACCCGTGGGACATGGTAGCCGAGCCACCACTAACCACCTGCTTCGAACCGCTCAGGTAATCTCTGAACCATTCCGGGGACATGTCGCACCATTCCAGCTTCCTCAGGAGGACGCCGTGATCAACGCTGCCAAAGGCCTTGCTGAAGTAAATCGTCGTCATCGACGTGACATTGCCGCTGTCGTCAGTCCTTGCCAGCCACCCGATAGCGTCGATCAGGGCGTCCTCCGTCGAGTGACGGAGTAGTAGTAGTAGACGGTAAGCATATTGCGGTTGCGTCAGTACATGGCTGTCAAGAAGGTAAGAAGTGAGCTGCGAGCAGACGACCTTCTCGGTCATTTTCGACGGTACAGAGAGGATAGAAAAGGCCAGAGGTTGTTCAGGTCTGATGGATCGTCTAACTTGAACACCGGGATGGTGCACGGTCTTCCAGACGGACGGAAAGGTGCGTGACGTGACAGAAAAATTGATCAGATATAGGAGATGGGCGCCGATTACAGGGAAACACCTTTTCCCTACATGAAGTGGTACACCATCGACACCGACAACCCTCGACGCGCTCATCTTCCTGATGGCTGTAGAAAGCTCCGGTAGAGTGACTGGATTCACGGAGAACGCCAAGGCACAGACACGGTACGGGCTCGGTCCAGCCGGGGCGCACCTGCGCTGCCACGCACCGCCACCGCCTCCACGGCGATGCGGGGACCGACAGCGAAGTGGGCATTGAGTGTGTCCGCCCGGGTGCCCATGTCGTAGTCGGGTGTGTCACGCCCTCTCGCTGACGGCTGTCTGAAATTCTCGAGGCGGCTCCAGAAGTCTCGCCGCCCTGTCAGCAGACCGCTGCACAGGTAGCAGCGTCGCGCGAGAGTGGTCAGTCCCATCACTCTGTTACGGCACCGCTGGTATACGCGGCACGCTCCCAGGTTTGTGGTACGGCAGCGCTCCCAGGTCTCGCAGACGCAGTCGCGCTCCTCCACAGCTGCGGAGACTTCGGTGCATCCACGCAGCCATGGACGGCCGGGCCGGCGTGACGTCACCGTGATGGTCGGGCGGTGAGCGTCGACTGCGACGTTTCACATTTCCACAAATTTTGCCGCCTTGTCATCGGCGGTGCCGGCCGCGTAAAGCGGCTCCCAATCGGCGAGCCGCGGACTCTGGGTGGACGCGTCCCAGTCGACGAGTCTCCACAGTCGCACGGTGGGGATGACTGATCGTCGGTGCTCTCTGGGGACGGGAGCGCAGAGTAGCACCGGTTGGTGGTCCGCCACAGGCTCGGGGAAAACCTCAGCGGATTCCCGGGGACCGGTCACTCTGGTGACAATCATGTCTAGTAGTGTTTATGTCGGTTGGAGGTGGGTGGGGTTGATGACCAGCTGTGCGAGACTCGTGTCTCTCAGGATGGTCTGAAAACCGCGGACACCGGGTCGTCCGGGCTGAGGAGATTGGTGCCGAAGTCTCCCAGTGCGAATGCCTTTTTCCTGTGGCGACGGCGGCCTGTAGTTGGTCTCGAACGCTCTCCAGGCATCGGGACGTTGGTCCCTCGGCGGTCGGTAGATGGCACCGATCACCACGGTGCAGTGGCGGGGGCCACTCACCGAGAGCCACAGGGATTTCACCATAGGTTTGGTACTGCCTATGTCGAGTTTCACTGCGCAGAGAGAGTCCGCGACGAGTATGGTGACCCCACTTCCGTGCGCCTGGGTCTGCTGGGCTACTGTCAGCCGGGCGACACCGCGTTCATGCCGCAGTATGCTGTAGCCCGCAATATCAGCACCCTGTCGAGTACCTTAGGCTTGAGCCATGTCTCCGACACGCAGGATGTCCAGGTGGTGCTTCTGCAGTAGCTGGTCGACTTTGTCCAGTCGGCGTGTCAGCGACTGAGCATTGGTGTGACTAATATTGTAGTGGTGTTGACTGGAGGGCTTAGTCGCGCCTGCCATGGCCGCATCCGCCCGGCAGATCTGCGGCACGGTTCGCCTGGGGGGGGGGGGGGGGGGGGGGGGGGTTACACTAGCGCCTGTGGCTGGTGTACCGCAGACCTCTCCACTATTTAAGGTTGACTCATGGTATATTCCGTGTGCAGATCGCGGTCAACGCGTGAAAGTCGTTGATTAAAGTCCCTTGGCGCCTGCGAAGGATGTGCGGGTTTTGGAATGTTCATTAGAGCTGCCAAAGGCTGACGCCTCTGTGACGCGGGGAGAAGTGAGCGGGGCGGATGCCGGCCCTGGGACCGGCGTCACGTCGCTGTTTCGGCCGCAGCCGGACCACTCCCAGGTCCGGTGTGTGTGCGTCCAGTAAGTTTACACACGCCACCCTCCACCCCCCCCCCCCCCAAAAAAAAACGTCTGGCTGCCTGCCAGAGGCGGCCATTCCGAACTGATCTGATGGCGGGAGTAGGGCAGGGCCGGTATCGCGGCCCCATCATGGTCGACGCGGTGGGGAAGGTCGCCTCCAGTGCACGCTGCTCGACCCGTGTTCTGTCTGTGAGATGTCTCCGACCAGCCCGCCTCCAGCCATAGTCCGGACGGCGGCGCCTGGCCCTCCCTGAGTGTTTATTGGACTTGTGCGCCGGCGGTGGCGGCGTATCGGCCGCCGCCTCCGCCGGTAACCCCTGCTGCGGGGGGTCGGGGGCCCCCGGTGCGGACGGGGCGCGGTCGGCCGATGGACGCGTGACAGCCCGCCCGCTGGAGTGGCCCGCGGCCGGCGCGCGAGGGTGGGAGTGGGGGTGGGAGCCGATGCCGAAGGCTTCGCTTCGCACGCACGGCTGCTTCGAGGATGGAGGCCGTTGTACGAATAGCTTTAGCAATTCATGTATTACCCATGCGGGCTAGAAACAGCTATAGAAATGCCTGGCATTCAGGTAGCAGGCAGACTTACGAAGAACGGTAAAATGTATTGCATAATCAAGGTTTAGATATTTAAAGGATAAGTTCTATCAGTCGATAAACTGTTGTCTGTTGACGCCATCACGTTTTTGAAAAAAAAAATGCAAACATTTGTCCGCAGCCAAACAATAAGATAATTGCCGGAGCATATGAACACTGGTTTCCTTTTTGAATGCGTATTGTGTTAGATCGCCCTGTATTCCGCCGCGGTGGGACAGGGGCCACCTGGCGCGTCTCGTCCCACGTCCCAAGATGAGCCTGCTGACGTCCAATTTCCGTGGCGGTGTGGAGCGGAGACGTTTGCCACGGCCGGCCGTGTCGTGGGGTGACACAGCAAACGACTCGATACTGTGTAGCCAGCTGACTACGACCAAATCTCCCTTTAGGTCTGATCGCATAGTTTGTGGGCCACTGTCCATGCAACAAGCTGTGGGTAACGAAGATTTGGTCCCAGCACCGTTCCATCAGATGCAACTGAACTTTGAAATAAGAAATGAAACAATGGATTCAATTAATAAGCACCATTTCAGCTTGGTTCATTGTGCCTCAAGGTGACATGCGACACTGGTGTGTTTCCAGGAGCGGTACAAGAAGCACACCTCTCGTTTCATCCACCGCGTCAAGATCCAGCGGTCGACCTCTCCTGCCGTGGGGTAGGTGGTGAAGGCATCACCTTCTTTTCTCCGGCGGAGTGCATTGCGGCGGTTTGTCTAAGTTTTGCATCACTATGCAAACGCCAGCGATCAAAGGTTTCTTCGGCATGCACATTTCGCCTTGTCTTGAGATACACACACACACACACACACACACACACACACACACGCACGCACGCACGCACGCACGCACGCACGCACGCACGCACGCACGCACGCACGCACGCACGCACGCACGCAACACCACACACCACACCACGCACGCACGCACACTGCGTGCGTGCGTGCGTGTGCGTATTTCGGGATGTGTTCCATTTCTCGTATGACTGAGCGGGCTTCAGAAGCATGCTCGCAGACGATGTCGACAAACGCCGTAGTCCGTACATAAGAAACTAAGATGAGAAAGGAATGTGTTTTTCAAGTAAGAATTGGTTCCGAGAAGTGGTTTTTACAAGGTTCCAGTGGACTTCTACCACCGCCAGATATATCATTCCGTAACATAGTGTCCAGGCTTAAGACGAGAATGTACGAGTCAATCGTCATCAAACAGTAATAGTTACACTTTGCGTTACATTACTTATTAGTGTAGGTACTACCAGCTAGAGATTCCCATTTTTTTTTGTCTAACGTGCCTTTTCATGTCATTAATGTTCATTAAAGAGGGTCAGGGTAGTTACCATTCTACCCTGAATTATTTTGATGGGCATGTTGTACTAATATAATCAGCTTTGATGAAGGGCGAACTTTCCCGATCATCGCACGTTATCAGGATGGTGGTATTTCGTAATGGGTTGTCCTGCATTAAATGTTCGTCACGACAGTCTCTCTCACAGCTTCTTGGACCGCCGCTCTGCAGGTGCATGTCGCCTACTTGGGGATGTCGCTGTATGGCCTGCACAGCATGCTTTACCGGTTGCACATTCACCGTGTGTAACTAGTGTACCTGTGAAGGCTTCCAGGGTTCACTACCTTTTTGATCTGCTTTGCACTTTGCAAAAGCGGATGTCTTGTGGTTATGATAATAAAGATGGTAAGCACCAGATTTTTCTGGAGTTTTCGCGGCCTGCAGTCGTGTAAAGCGGTGCTTCGGATAAGTTTTGAATTCTTCTCAGAATCCGTCAATTTCTTGCCGACGGTAGCCTTTACCAACGCCGGTTTGGATTTCATTTGTAAGAAGATGGTGGACAGGTACTACAGCTCAGAAAAAGTCAGCGAAATGAACATACCAATGGTGTCTGACCTTCTAATAAACCACTTTAACGCAAACTTGGAAGGATTACATTACAAGGGCATCGAAAAAAGAAAATGCTGCTCATATCTCCTATCAGAGCCCGACATCCTTTTATGCTATGTGGAACACTGTTGAGAGAGATGCTGATCCCTGGAAACCGGCGTATTTAGTGTGCCTATTTTCATGTACCCACGGTGAATGTGCAGCCGGTAGAGCATGCTGCGTAGGCCGTACAGCGACATCCCCCAAGTAGACGACGTGCACCTGCAGAGCGGCGGTCCAAAGGAGCTCTGAGAGAGACTGTCATGACGAACATTTGATCCAGTATGCGATACCATCATCCTCATAACGTGCGATAATCGGGAAAGTCTGCCCGTCATCGAAGCTGACGGTATTAGTGCAACATGCCCGTCATAATAATTCAGGGTAGGATGGTAACTACCCTGACCCTCTTTGATTGGCGTTAATGACATGAATAGGCACGCTCGACGAAATAATTGGCAATCTGCAGTTGATAGTGCCTGTTGTAAGTTATGTTACGCAATGTGTATCTATCACTGTTTGAAAATGATTGACTCGTACATTCTAGTTTTAAAATTGGATACGATGTTACGGTATGTGATGTACGCGATAGATATATCGGGAATTATCGGGGTGCCGACCAGCCCCCCCCCCCCCCTCCCCCTTCCTTTATTTGAAGTCTAGCGCACGGTTCTTGGACTGTTTACGTGATAGAAGTGCATCCTCTAAAAAATTGTGAATTTTCGGAATATCGCAGCCTGGACAGCGTCCCATATGTGTCGAGATATGATCCACGTCATCCGACGCCCACGTCAAATAAGATGCCTTAAATTTGGCAGCATATGCACGCTGCTAATGCTGACGCAAAAAAAGCGGCAGCTTCCAAACATTTCCGGCATTAATCCTAGCGATTGGTTATGTTTAGTAGCGGTGCGTTCAGGTTGAGTGGGACCGTCTTATGTAGAAGATATTTGTGGTATTTTGGTATCCCATCGTGATAATTATTCGTATTGGACGTGCAGAATTACGATATAGTATATACAGTATATTGTAACAAGTCCCTTCCTGGTATCTCAGTTGGTTGGAGGGTCTGTCTTCGGATGTGTCCCCCCTAGCGGGACGGGTTCGAATCCGTTTAGGCGCTCGCTGTTTGTACCTGACTGGGATAGCCTGCGACCGGTTTCAGCGGCCGCACTAAGTTCCAGGTGGCGTCATAAGGCAGGACTGACGATGCCGAGCACGTCGGCAAGTTCAACTTTTGCCACAAAATTATGCCGTCGACATCGAATTTCACGGTGTTTGGTGGGATCAGGGCTCGCACAACAAGCTTTGCTTAGCGTTAGCTCTGATCTCAGAAGTCGATCCAATCGTAGGGTGCGGAGTAGGACTCAATGTAGAAAAGTCTGGTCTGGGCCTGAAAGTGACCTTCACCCTTCTGGACCCCTTCTTAATTACCGTTGCCTTTATTACTGTTACCTATATTATAATTACTAATTACCGGCTGTGCATATCTGATCGGTAGATCATGCATATCTATCTTCAGCTATCTTTTTTATAATTTCCCGTGCATTGTGTGCCTACGCCAGTCTGACTGCTTACCACCTGGCACCAGTTGGATGCTGAGAGCTGGTGTGACTCTAGTTGGAAATGTTTGCCAGAATGCAGTACCATTATGCTTTGACTCGTATTGCCAGACCGCGGAGGCGACTTCCTCCGAGTTCCTCCGAGACGAGTTATCCCGCCGCATCATTTGCTCATTGCAACTCGTAGCTGCTATGCACGCCAGCATCGCAGTCTCATGCGGCGAATCCAACGAGTTAGACTGAATGATAACGGACAGAAAGTGCGAACCCACGAGCGCCAGGTGCGCAGGTGCGCGCCACTGACCACGTGCTGTCGTGAGAAGACTGATGCCGCCCTACAGAGGAGAGGCGTGGTATTACCGCGGCGCGGCGCGGTACCCCTATTACAAGCTGACATCTTGCTCTGATCAGGTCGATATACCCAGCTAGCTGGATGTGTCCAAGATGCTAGAGATAGATCCCTTTCTTGCTAGTGTCGGCAGACTGTCTCTGAGTCTCGGATTATGGACCTTCGTGATCTCCGCGCTCCATGCGATCTCAGCCGAAGCTGATGACAGCTGCGCGTGAACTCGCGCATAATCAGCAATCCGAGTACATCGATATCTGCCTCCACATTTGAAAATGTGCCTGGAATTCCAGGGAGGAGGATGCCATCGACATGGAGAAGCCACGCCTGTACGTGCCTGACATGGTCTCGCGCCAGTTTAAGGGTGAGCCGGTGGGATGGATAGTGGGACGGTGGGCGGGGGGGGGGGGGGGCAGCAAAGCGTGCTCAAGGCTCTCTAGGGGGTTAGGAGGGTTTCGTCCCGGAGGGCCCTCTAGCTTCAGTGGTGACACAGTCGTCTGCCTCGTCGAATACTCCATTTGATGCGCCCCTGGCAACATGGCGCGCCGGTCAACGCGCGAATGAAATGTCATGGGTGGCGCTTCGACCGCCTGCATTGTACAGCCTCGCGACGCCGTGGGGCTGCGCTGCTGGTGTCCACTGAGCGAAGACGCGCCGGCCGACCGCCGCCTGTCGCCGCCCTGTCCAGCCTTCTGTTACATTATTGACGCTGCGGCGTGCGTGTCTGCGAGCGCCGGCCGCGGCGGCAGCGCACTGCTGATATCCGGGCGTGTCAAGCGTGCCGGTTCGCTCGCGTCACGTCGTTCAGACGTTTGTATTCGGTATGCAACCTTCACCTTTCTTTGACAGGCTGGTGTCACTGAGTTGTCTGTTTACTGCAAGACATGTGCGACGCATCTATGTACTCATGGTGACGTGAGTATTTGCAGCCTTGGACGGCCGGGCAGCGCCGTAAGAGTGTCGGCATTTGACCACTTGGATGAGTGCGATGCTTGGCTGTTCGTACTAACGTGACGTTACCTGTGACGTCAGCGGTCACCGAGATCCGCTATTTCCGACACAAGAAGCTCTGCCACGTCTGGAACGGGCCCAGCGACGCGTTCGAGCGGCTGGAGCTGTTCTTCTCGGACATGCCGCTGGAGCGGCTGCACGAGCAGCAGCCCCTCTCAGCTGGGGAGCAGGACGGCAGGTCGGTGTCAGACGGGTCCGCCGCTGGAGTAACTGCTCTTTTGGTGCGTATCTGCAGGCTGAACCTCTATTTTGCGGTCCGCTGCCGTGGTCCCTGGACTGTATGTTCTCTGTTGTCCGCGTTGCAGTCGCGTGCCGCCGACCAACAGTAAAGTGAAACTGTTGTGTTGCTGCCCGCTGCAAAGTATCTGCTGCGCTGCTTTTTGAGATGGCGGCCACCGTCGCCATCACAGCCGCCCCTCCCGTCGCCAGGCGCGCCGTGTACGGCGGTAACAGCATCAATATTCAGCTGACGCCCATCCTGAAGGTCATCTTTCTGGAGGTGCTGACGCCGTTCTACGTGTTCCAAATATGCGCCTGCATCCTGTGGTTCGCGGACGAGTACGTGTACTACGCTTCGGCCATCGCCGTGGCCTCGGTGGCGTCCGTCACAACAGCTGTTTACCAGCAACGCAAGGCGAGTCGACCGCGCGCCCTGACGGGCCGTGGTGCGGCACCTGTCACAGGGCGCACCCCACACCCTGACGGTCCGTGGTGCGGCACCTGTCACAGGGCGCACCCCACACCCTGACGGTCCGTGGTGCGGCACCTGTCACAGGGCGCACCCCACACCCTGACGGTCCGTGGTGCGGCACCTGTCACAGGGCGCACCCCACACCCTGACGGTCCGTGGTGCGGCACCTGTCACAGGGCGCACCCCACACCCTGACGGTCCGTGGTGCGGCACCTGTCACAGGGCGCACCCCACACCCTGACGGGCCGTGGTGCGGCACCTGTCACAGGGCGCACCCCACACCCTGACGGGAGCCCCTGGGGCGCGGCACCTGTGACAGGGCGCACCTCACAAGGTATTTTGTGCTATTCGTGCATTGCAGAATCGTGTGGCATGTTTGTTTTTGCCCCTCACTCGGCGTATTTGTGGTGCGTGTCGTATCCATATGTACCCCTTTCTGTCCTTGCCATGCTGTTTGCTTCTCGACGGTGGCTGACTTTAGCCATGCTCCGGTTGGATTTTCCATGGCTATGATATATGAAATTATAATCCGTGTGCCACGCTGCAAGCTCGTTGCATTAGCTCGGTGCAACCGGAACCGGTTGCCTTCGACATTTGCGTTGCAAAAGCACAACATCGTGGTGCATGCATCGCTGATAGACGAATGGAGGTCTTGTTTGTGCCATCTAGTTTGGCAATGTAGTGATCGCTGCATTTTATACACGGACACAGTCGACTGCTCACGTTCACCTGTGCTGCCTCTTAGCCCACGAAATTCCTCCACGTTTTCGTCGTCTCATACGTTGTGTATATTTGGTGTTAATCGGCGCTGTTGCGCTCCGCAGAATGAGAAGAATCTGCGCCGCACCATCCAGCAGACGGACGTGGTTGAGGTGGTGCGTGAGGACAACAGCACGCAGGTGGGGCTGGCACGGCAGGTGCCGGGAGCAGAGGCCAAAACGGGCTCTGGTGTCCGAGCGATATCCGTCATCGAGACGGGTGTAGCCTGGCGGCATCAGTGCGAGGCAGGTGTATCGCGCGGCACATGGAGCAGTTCCGTGTTAAGGCTCATTGAGGGTAACTCGTTGCCAGTTGGGCGTTTAGCACAACGGCTTGTGGCATTGTTAGCGAGGGCAACAGCAGACCCATCTTCATTTGCCGAGCGGCTCGCCGGGTCCGCGTCCTTGCGGCCACCGGGCGGAGGCAGTTTTTTATCGCGCCTCCGCTGGCTGCTTCTCCCACTAAATATACAGCAGTCCGCAATCTACACGGTCTAGTTCATAGGTGGTTGGTGCGCGGCGTCGCAGGCGATTGCGGGCCGCCGCCGCCTGCTGACCGTGGCCCGGCGCCGGACCGGTCGGCGGCGTGACACACGCCCACCAGTCGCCGCCGCCTGCTGACTATGGGACCCGTCCACCGCCAGACGGTGCAGGCCGACCGGCTGGTGCCGGGTGACGTGATTGTCGTGCCGTCCCACAACACCACCATGTGCTGCGACGCTGTCCTGCTCGCCGGCAACGCCATCGTCAACGAAAGCATGCTGACTGGTGAGAGGGCGGGGGGGGGGGGGGGCTGGGATGGCCGGGATGGCCGGAGGCGGACAGAGGCCAGCCGAGAGGTGCGCCAGCCCCCATCCCGCCTTTGCTTCGAGACCACAGTCACACGCGCTGTCCACGGATGCGTGTATCCGAGCGGCCGTCACCTCCCGCCTCGCCGTCGGCCACGGTTAGGCCTTTCGCCGCACGGGGCGGCTCTACGGATACTGCGCCCGCTGCACGGGGTGGGTTAGGGCTGAAGGGAATGCTCCACACTTAAAGGTGTCGAGGCAAGCTTCAGATAACATGGAAACAGCTCACTTGGAGCTGTTGGTATGCTTTCAAGCTCAAAAGACTGCCCTAGACAACATAATTTTCACTAGGCGATAAAACCGCTCCTCAATACATCATCGTCTGATTACATCATGGAACGTTTCTATGCCGCCAGAGTCGCTGGCATTCATTCAAACTCCAAAAAGTCAGTTTTGTTGGTGTGTGAAACTTGAAATCGTTTAATCTAACGCTAAAAAATCAATTTTGTTGGCCAGAATTCAATGGCTTTAAGGGGAAATGTGCTCGAAAGAGAGCATGTTGAATGCTCGCCCGTGATTGGCTCCTGAGGTCGTGACGTTATGTGTCGGCACGGGCCAGTCATGATGACTCGATGGGCTCACCCATGCGTTTCGCGGGGCTGGTCCGGCGCGTGACTTGGGGCTATGTGCCGTCAGGAGTCCCAGATGCCTCTCTGTGGTCAACGTAGGGTAGTGTGGTCGCATCCGAGGCTGCGTAACCTGGCGTTGTAGTTTCTGCTTTGTGCGTGCTTGTATATTGTAATTATAATGATATATTATAATTGGTGTGACGTTTCTATGACGCCATGCATCCATGAGTGACGTCAAATGAGGTGACGCGAAGCTTTCTGTACAAATTCGCTGGCGCCTGCCTTAGAGACAAAAGCATTCTAAGTCTGAAAAAGGGCATGACTGTGAACTTCAGGACATGATCTTGAAAATGGCTATCTGATTGCGCGACGCCATACAAATGTGGAGAAGTCCCTTGAGTGGCGTGTTCCCACTCAGCTGCCGTCCCGTTGGCGTGGGACGCCGCCTGGCTTTTGGTGTGTTGTCGCCGCTGACGGCCGGCGCCGGCGCCGGTGCCCGCAGGCGAGAGTGTACCAGTGACCAAGGTGCCGCTGCCGGCGCGGCCGGACGTGCGCTACAGCCCGCAGCAGCACGGGCGACACACGCTGTTCGCCGGCACGCTGGTCCTGCAGACGCGCTACTACAAACACGAGCGGGTCAGTGTGGCCGCACCACGGCCAAGCTCACCACGTGGCCGCCTGTGATTGCAGGCGGGTACATATATAGGTATATATATATATATATATATATATATATATATATATATATATATATATATATATATATATATATAATATATATATATCTCTCTCTCTCTCTCTCTCTCTCTCTCTCTCTCTCTCTCTCTCTCTCTCTCTCTCTCTCTCTCTCTCTCTCTCTCTCTCTCTCTCTCTCTCTCTCTCTCTCTCTCTCTCTCTCTCTCTCTCTCTCTCTCTCTCTCTCTCTCTCTCTCCTCTCTCTCTCTCTCTCTCTCTCTATCTCTCTCTCTCTCTCTCTCTCTCTCTCTCTCTCTCTCTCTCTCTCTCTCTCTCTCTCTCTCTCTCTCTCTTCTCTCTCTCTCTCTCTCTCTCTCTCTCTCTCTCTCTCTCTCTCTCTCTCTCTCTCTCTCTCTCTCTCTTCTCTCTCTCTCTCTCTCTCTCTCTCTCTCTCTCTCTCTCTCTCTCTCTCTCTCTCTCTCTCTCTCTCTCTTCTCTCTCTCTCTCTCTCTCTCTCTCTCTCTCTCTCTCTCTCTCTCTCTCTCTCTCTCTCTCTCTCTCTCTCTCTCTCTCTCTCTCTCTCTCTCTCTATCTCTCTCCTCTCTCTCTCGCTCTCTCTCTCTCTCCCTCTCTCTCTCTCTCTCTCTCTCTATCTCTCCTCTCCTCCTCTCTCTTCCTCTCTCTCCTCTCCCTCTCTCTTTTGGTACGGAGAACATAAATGAAGCATAACTAATTGAAGTAAGACGGATTGCTATTTTCATCTTCATACATGTAAAAAACACTCATAATGGGAACATCACAAGGACACAACATTTTACATTTATTTTACATTACATTTTACATTACATTTTATGATGGTACATCCATATATATATATATATCTATATAGAGAGAGAGAGATGGAGAGAGAGAGGAGGAGAGAGAGAGAGAGAGAGGAGGAGAGAGCAGAGAGAGAGAGATGAGAGAGAGAGGAGAGAGGAGAGAGAGAGACGAGAGAGAGCGATGAGCGAGATGAGAGCCGAGAGCGAGAGCGAGAGCCGAGAGCGAGAGCGAGAGCGATGAGCGAGAGCGCGAGCGCAGAGCGAGAGCGAGAGCCTGAGAGCGAAGAGCGAAGAGGCGAGAGCGAGAGCGAGAGCGAGAGCGAGAGCGAGAGCGAGAGCGAGAGCGACGAGCGACGAGGAGCGAGAGCGAAGGAGCGAGAGCGGAGAGCGCGAGGAGCGAGAGCTGACGAGCGGATGAGCGAGAGCGAGAGCGAGAGCGGAGCGCGATGGAGAGCGAGAGGCGAGAGCGAGAGCGAGCGCGATGAGCGAGAGCGAAGAGCGAGAGCGAGAGCGAGAGTGCGCGACGCACGAGAGCTGAGAGCGAGAGCAGAGGAGAGCGAGAGCGAGAGGAGCGAGAGCGAGAGCGAGAGCGAGAGGGATGTACCATAATAGTTATATGTGAAACAATGGCCCGCCCACGCAAAAGCGCTGGTGCAGATATACTTGGCTCTACCTGGCACCAGACGGCGGTGTGGTGCACTCGAGAGTACAGCATGATGCATCACCATTCACTGTCGCCAACTGAGCCAGGTGCAGTCTCCGTTTCCTGCACCCATTCGTTCCAGCGCTTCCGTGTGCTTTCTCCGGGGCCTGACCCGACCTGACCTGACCCGACCCGATGTCCGCCGCAGGTTCTCGCCCTGGTGACCCGGACCGGCTTCATGACCTCGAAAGGCGAGCTGGTGCGCTCCATCCTGTACCCCCCGCCGGTAGACTTCAAGCTGGAGCAGGACACGTACAAGTTCGTCGGCATGTTGGCTGCCGTGGCCGTTGTGGGCGTCATGTACTCCACCTACACCAAGGTACCGGCCGCCGACACCGGCAGTGTGGGCGCAAAATGACCACTGCAGTCGACGCGCCCGAAAACACCAATGAACAACAACAAAGGCAGCGGCAGTGGGGTCGCTGGCTCAGTGGGGCCGGAGTCAGGGTGCTCGCGCTCAGACGGGTCGTGTGTTCGTTGGCACGGTGGCCTGCTGATCGATAGCTGGGTATGCGATAGTCGGTGCGTGCGTGTTCCAACTCGGCTGGCATGGCGGTTGTTGGCCCAATCCTGTGCTCGGATTGGTGATATTTCGTTCAGCACCCAATCAATGATTGTCACAGCTAGCCACCAAAGATATGGGGGAAAATGACGCAGACCATTTATAAATAACTATGTGTAATCACGTGGGCCGGAAGCAAAGGCCCAGTTGACTTCAGCACTCGACTCGAGTCGTTGGCGCATGGCCCCGGCGGTTGCATGGCTGACGGCGTGACCCAAAACTGCGTAGATTTGAACTTCCTTTCACCAAACCGGGCCTCAGGCCTTTGAACGGGAAGGTACAGGCCCCACTCACTCGGGCACATATTGAAGAGAGCATTCCTTCACGTCCGGCAAAGTGCAGGCTGCTGCAAAGCGAGGCATGGCCGTGCTCGCCGCGTTATCGGTGCACCTGGAGAAGGCATTAAGCCCTGCTGATGCTGATGCTGACGCTTCCCAAGCTGCTGATGAGTGACGTGTTCCTGGACGCGCGGTAGCTGACGACGCCTCGGTGGCAGGTGATGCGGGGTTTAGAGCCCCAGGAGGTGGCGCTGGACGTGCTGGACCTGATCACGATCGTGGTGCCGCCGGCGCTGCCCTACGCAATGGCCGTCGGCATCATCGTGGGCGTGGAGCGGCTCTTGAAGCAGCGCGTCTTCTGCATCTCCCCCCGTTCCATCAATATCGCCGGCCTCATCAACTACGTCTGCTTCGACAAGGTGACCGCCCGGCCGGTTGTGACGCTGACGGCTGAGAGTGGGGTGGTTGGACGGTATGCGGCGGCGAAGGGAAGGGGACCGGGAGCAGGAGACCGGTGTTGGGATGGTCCTAGTGGGATAGACGAGGCTTCATGACGGCAGTTTGCGCGGCGATGTGGAACGCCGCGGTCACAACCGCGACGCGACAGTTCGCGCGGCGTGAAGCGCGTCCACCACTGCTGCCGCACGACGGGCGGTGCCGGCAGCGCCGGGTGCGCCGCGTATCTCGCCGACGGCATAGTCCTGCCTCGTGCCAGGTCGTGAGCTCCGCCCGGTGCGACCAGCGCCGGAGCGACTGGAGTGTTGCACTGGTAGCCAGGTCCCGCGTCTTCCTTTAGTTCTGACTTGGACCGAGCCGAGACGCAACGTGTATCATTAGCCACAATATGTTTGCCCCCCCCCCCCTCCCCGCCAAAGTGCTGAAATGGATGGAGTGCTGCGCTGACCGCCTGGGCTCGGCTCGTCACCCCACCCCCACTTCGCCGATAAACGCTGGGCCGACCGTCGCCCACCGCCCACGCGCGCGCCGGCCGACGCGCCCGCGTCGTTTCAGACGGGCACGCTGACCGAGGACGGGCTGGACATGAAGGGCGTGGTGCGCGTGTCGGAGCCGGCCGCGCCGCCGGCGGTCGGCCCGCTGGAGGAGGTGGCCTCCCTGCCGGTGGGCCTCTTCACCACCGGCATGGCCGCCTGTCACGGTCTCATGCTTATCAACAGCGAGCTCACTGGTGACCCGCTAGACCTCAAGGTCAGTCAGCGGTCAGGCAACCGCCCGAACGCTCACTAGTGGAGCCGGCTGGTGATTAGCCGAGTCTCAGTGAGTGACAGTTGACCAAGAGACGTCAGGCAGGATGTTCTATATGTGTTCCTGTGTTAGAGGAGGCTTGGTGGTTATTGTGTTTGTGCTAGACGAAGCCTTGATTTTTGGCCGTGTCGGCTGGAGCGGTCGCGCCCCTGGTTTGGCCGTGTCGGCTGGAGCGGTCGCGCCCCTGGTTTGGCCGTGTCGGCTGGAGCGGTCGCGCCCCTGGTTTGGCCGTGTCGGCTGGAGCGGTCGCACCCCTGGTTTGGCCGTGTCGGCTGGTGCGGTGGCGCGGTGGTGAGATCTCGCCGCGGCCTGTCGGGTAGATGTTCGAGTCCACCGGCTGGGAACTGGAGGAGCCGGACATGGACGAGTCGACCAAGTACGACGTGCTGGCGCCGACGGTGGTCCGGCCGCGGCGGCCGGACCTGGTGCCGGCCCACCTGCGTCTCCAGGAACTCGGCCAGGTGAGTGGCGCTCCGGCTTGCTCATTCTTTATCTCGGTGCTCTCTAGGTGTTTACCATTCGCTCGTGGCACATGCGCGTGCCGACCTAGATCTAGAATGGATCTGTGACCAATGCTTTCAGTGGGACTCGCGTATGGCAGCTGCCATTCAGGGGCTTGGGATTTACGTTCAGTGCCTTACTGGCGTCATGACCTGGTCTTCTTTGCCAACTCGCTGGCACCGCCTGAGCCCCAGGGCTCTCAGTTTCGCTGCTGCCATACCAGCTCAGGCAGCGGCTCGTTCAATAGCGCTCCCGGTGCAAGTGAGGGTCAGTTTTACATTTGCATTTTTAGCAAACGGAAGTATTATCGCATCCCTTCTATGCTGAGATCTGTAGCCGGCGGCCGCTGACGTGTAGACACATGTAAGGTCACCAGGCGCGGTGCTCCCAGAGCCGCACGGCGCGTGAGACGGCGACCCTCTCGTGTCATTATTTGCAGTACGTTGGGATGGGCGCGGTCGCTTCAGCAGCGCCCGCCGTCGTCAGGAGCAGCTTCATTGTTCACAGTACAGTTCGGGCTCCGGTTCTGCACACTGTACGGGAGCCATACTTGAGCTTTGACTGATCAGAAAATTCCGCGCGAGGTCTTTTCTGCCTGGGTTAACACGCGCTCGGGGGTCAGATTGACTCCCCTCGGAGGTTTTCCAGGATGGTTCCGAACGACGCGGCGTGGCCGCGCCAAATTTTGCATAGCTGTAGAAAATTGAATAGCGGATCGTCTGGCATCACAAATTTAAGTACACCTGGTAAGGTCGCTGACCTATGGCAGGTCAGTTAGGTCACGGTTTTAGCGAAGTCAGTTTCTGGGGAATCGTTCAATCCGATGTAACAACGGAGTGTTGGACTAAGTCACACATCTCTGAGATGCTTTTTTAGGCAACACAAATATTGAATGAGTAGATAACGCCGACCTACGGTCAGGTATAAAGGTCAGACCAAGGTCAAAACCAACCTGTTTTATTGCTCTAGCGCTTGCTGTATGAGATAGTTTCTGGTGCTCATTTATAATTCATTGATAGCAGGAACCGCATTGTGCATCTTCCATGGGCTTCTTAGAGGTCAGAATAGGTCATTGACCTAAAATGACCCAGGTCAGCATTTTGTTTTTAGAAACATACCGCCTAACGTAATCTTTGTCGCTTATTCAAATGCAAAACTCAGTCCCGTATGATTTTGTTCACTATGATCTTCAAAAGGTCAGACAAGGTCATTGACCTCGACTGAGCACGTGATCTCGTGCTTATAAATAGTTTTTTTTAGGTTTTGGGGTACTTTGGAGACCAACCTGGAATTTGACCTTGTTTAACCTTATTTGACCCAAAGGTCATAACCTAGTAGCCTCGAACTTTGTCCTAAGTGAGGTTACGTACAGGCCAATACACCATTTGAATTTGGTGTCTCTAACTCTCTTATTTTTCGAGATCTCAGGAAGTCAAATTGATCTCCCCCCCCCCCCTCCACCCTACCTGAGCGAATGGTATCTAGCCGGCCACCCGGGCGCGTGTTAATGAACTATCGCTCTGCCATGACGTCAAACACTGCCACCGTGGTGCTCTGCACATCATGCATACATGCATATGTAGATTGCGGCTGAAATCAAATTTAAATGTCCGGTTGTTATGATTGGTTTTGTGGTTTTAATTCGTATTCCCTGATACGTTCGTGTCAAGAACATGGTGCTTGGTGCTTGCCATGTTATCCCTCTATGGGCATGCGTAGTCGAACTCACCCACGTATTAAGGCTGTCTTGTGGTCGTGCGGAAGTGTGTTGACTGATTGCGTCGCGTTATTGATATCTAGCGCACTCATCGTATTGTTTTGTTGGCCTGTTCTTTTGTAAGTTGTTAAGTGCATATGTGAGGAATGTTATTCTCACAGATAAAACAGTATAACGTTCTGTATGCGCTGGTAGTGCGTTGCAATCCGGGAGAAAGAACTTCCCAGTGGCACAGTTCACCGCTGGCAGGTTTGTGCCACGATCTCACTCGTGTTTGTGTTATGGAGCCGGGCCCGCGCTGTGTGTCGGGCAGGATCCGGTGCCGTTCGAGGTGGGCCTCGTGCGCCAGTTCGTGTTCGCCTCGTCGCTGCAGCGCATGTCCGTGCTGACGCGCCGCCTCGGAGCCAAGCAGATGGAGCTGTTCTGCAAGGGCTCGCCGGAGATGATCATCTCCCTGTCCGACCCAGCCACCGGTGAGCACCCTCTCCAGGGAGGAGCAGGAGGAGCGAGTCACGCCCGCCGGCGGCAACGGCGTGGCAGGCCGCACAACCGACACACGCCGTACATCAGAGCTTTACCCAAGAGGTGGTTTATGCAGGCTGTCAGATAAGAGGCAAAACTCACCACTGTGAGTTTTGTCACCACATCACCACTGAGTTCACCACTGCAGCAGGGCACGACCGCTGTAGTTGTCGTGTGCTCTTCCGCCCGCGCGCTGTCGGTCGTTGGCCGATGTTCTGCGTTGTTACCTCTGGCCAGCGCCGGCCGGCAGCTGCCCTGTCCGTCCCGCCGCCCAGCCGTGACAGCGTGCCCCGCCCTGGCCTGCAGTGCCGGCCGACATTCACCCGGTGCTCGACGGCCACACGCAGCGCGGCTTCCGCGTGCTGGCGCTGGCGCACCGGGCGCTGCCGCGGCTGACGTACGCGCGCGCGCAGCGCATCGCGCGCGAGGAGGTGGAGCGCGAGCTGACGTTCCTCGGCCTCATGGTCTTTGAGAACCGGCTGAAGGCCGAATCACGACCGGTACTGCGTGACCTAGCCGAGGCCAACATCAAGACCATCATGGTGACAGGTGGGGGAGCCAGCCGTAGCCAACGCCCAGCGTCGACCGGGGGCGGCTGCGCTTCGGCAGGAACTATAGTCGGCTTCTGCTAAAGACCACTATAGAGTGAATGGTACACGAATATTGCTTGGGACGAATCTTACATTACATCCGAATTTGGCATGGATCGAAAGGCGAGTATTGGATTGCATGGCTTACGAATCTCCTGGGTCATTTCGTTCGTTCGGTTGTTCAGGTCTGATGGCATGTACTATTGAGGTTTTAAGAGCGGTGACATTGTGATGTTTTTTTATATATATTTAGGCGCCATAACGCGAATAAGGAAAGAATCTGCGGCATGTACCTACTGGCCATCGTGGTAAAGTCGCTGGGGCAATGCCTGAGACTGGTCTGATCATGTTCCATCAGTCGTGTTTGTGTTGCCCGCTCCGCGTGCCGACACACCACAGGTGGCGTCTGGTGCCAACTGGCGCACCAGTGGTGTCCGTCACGTACACCATGTGCCGGCAGGCGACAACATGCTGACGGCGCTGTCGGTGGCGCACGACTGCGGCCTGCTGCCGGCCGGCGCGCCCGTCGTCTCCGTGTCGGTGGAGCCGACCTCCGGGTGCGGCCCGCGGCTGGCCTACCGGCGGCTCGAGCAGACGGCGCCGCCGGCCGCCGCCGGCCACGCGGCGGTCGACGTCGACGCCGGCGCCGACTGCCGTCTGGCGGTGACCGGGCCCGACTTCGACGCCATCTGTCGCCACTTCCGCGAACTGCTGCCGCGTCTGACCGTCCGCGGGGCCGTGTTCGCGCGCATGCGACCCGACCAGAAGCAGCACCTGGTGGAGTGTATCAAGGAGCTGGGTTACTACGTCGGTAGGTGGCGACCGGCGGCGGCAGGGCTAGCCACGGTCCGTGATGGAGCCCGGATGCACTGACGGCTGCAACGCGCCCTAGACCTTGAAACCAGCAGCGTCGCATCAAACATTGGGCTGGGCAGTGATTGGGACTGCCTTTATGTCGATGTGCCAATAGCTGCTCTTTTGCACTTCGGTGGTGCGTGACATGCCCCAATTGCTGAGTTGAATGCCGTTATCTGGCTATTGACAAGCGTCAAACCATGCAAAGCACGTGCGGTCGGCCGTGGTTGAGTGCACGGCCAGCTGTGACGGCGTCAGAGGCGTGTCCCCAGAGCTGAAGAGCTTAAGCGTGGCCCTCCCGCCGTAACGACCGTTACGCCCCCGCTTTAGGTATGTGCGGTGACGGTGCCAACGACTGCGGCGCGCTGAAGGCGGCGCACACGGGCGTCTCTCTGTCGGAGGCCGAGGCGAGCGTGGCCTCGCCCTTCACCTCCCAGGAGACCAACATTAGCTGCGTGCCGACCATCATCCGCGAGGGCCGCTCGGCGCTTGTCACCTCCTTCGGCATCTTCAAGTACATGGCCGCCTACAGCCTGACGCAGTTCATCTCGGTCCTCATTCTCTATGAGAAGGATAACAGCCTGACCGACTTCCAGTTTCTGTACATCGACTTCTTCATCATTACCATGTTCGCCGGCGTGTTCGGCATGACGAAGGCGTATCCCGGCCCGCTGTCGAAGCGCCTGCCCACGGCCAGGCTCGTGTCAGTCGCGCCCATACTGTCGCTGGTGAGATACTGCTCATACTGCCGCTGGTGGGGTACTGCCCACACTGGTACTGGTGAGGTACTGTCAATACCGTCCCTAGTGGAATGGACAGTATCCCTGGCAGGTTGCTGCCAATGCTGTCACTGGTGAGTTCTTGTCCATGCTGTCATTGCATAGATGTTCTCTTAGCTGTAGCTACTGCGTTACTATCCATGCTACCGAAGCTGTACAATATCGGTCGTTCTGTCGCTGGCGCGACACCCCCCATGCCGTCGATGGTGGAATCCTGGATGTGCCGTTGCTGGCGAGAGGGCTTGGACTTGTCTGATGACAGAGCGAGGAGAGCGGCGGATGGTATGGATCGCTGGCCCGTGTTTTGGATGTAGCCAGAGGGTGCCCGCCTGGTGCCTAGCGGCTGACACCGTTCCCCCTGTCCGCCGCCAGGCGCTGCAGGTGTCGCTGGTGGCGCTGATACAGCTGCTCGTCTACTGGAACGTGCAGCAGCAGCCCTGGTTCGTGCCGTACGTGCCGACCAAGAGCGACGAGGATGACAACTTCTGGAGCCACGAGAACTTTGCCGTCTACTGCACCTCCTCCTTCCAGTACATCCTGCTGGCGGTGGTGTTCAGCCGCGGCCCGCCGTTCCGGCGCCGGCTCTACACCAACCCCTACTTCTCGGCGGCCATTGCGCTCAACGTGGCCTTCTGCGCATGGTGCGTGGCCGCGCCCATGGCCTGGATGAGCTCGTGGCTGGAACTGCGGGCGCCGCCGTCCCTGCAGTGGCGGCTGCTGCTGCTGGGCGTGGCGGTTGGACACGCGGTGCTCGCCCTCCTGCTGGAGCACGGCCTGGTGGAGGCGCTGGTCCAGGAGCGGCTGCTACCCAGGTTAGAAGGCAGGCGAAGTGGGAGAGAGGAGGGAGCAGAACTGTATGAGTCTGTAACAACATTTCATTTCTTTTTACGTGATCTGTCTCAAGATGTCGGAAAGGGGATATCTGACTCCCCCCACCGCCACCTGTAGTTTGTCGCGGGGCCATCACTGTGGTGAGAGCGGATGGCGGATCAGGGCCTGAGCTACGCAAAAGGCACTGTCCGACCGACCCCCACGTCCGGAAAAACAGCCCCCCGCTTGTCGGCGGCTGTCAGCTGGGGTGGGGCTCAGCAAATCAGACAGCCATGCTCCCCGACAATGTTCACGTTCATATGACCTTGCTTCACATCTGGCGGGTTCGACTGTCGCAATGGCTGAGCATCTGACCGCGCGACGACTCTAGTTCCGTTCCCTTTGAACGCCTCCTACGGCTCAGGGGTTCCGCAAACCGCCTTCCGGGACTCCGTCCAGCTCGTCACTCCATCCGACCGAGCACGTATCCGATCGGGGCCTGCCCACGATCTTTCCCTCCCTCTCCCCTGAGCCAAGAGGTCGGGAGCAGATGCTGGGCGATTTCGCATGAATTTTGTCCAAACTGACAGGATTTCGGAGAACATTCGACATTTCCCTCCCCCCCCCCCATGCTCCTTCGAAGCAAGATTTGGGCTATGTGCATGCACCTGACTTGTTTCTCGGCCCGCGCCTGTGCACCTGATCCCTGTCTCACTCCACTTGACCATCTCACTCCACCTGACCTTGCCTCACCCTGCCTGACCCCTGTCTTACCCTGTCCAATCCCTGTCTCACCCCACGTGACTTCTGTCTCGCCCCGCCTGACCCCTGTCTCACCTCACTTGACCTCTGTCTCACCCTGTCAGACCCTTGTCTCACCTGCCTCACACCTGTCTCACCGCCGTCTCACCCCGCCTGACCCCTGTTTCATCCTGTCTGACCCCTGTTTCACCGCCTGACGCCCACCCTGCCTGACCCTCACCCCGCCTCACCCTGCCTGACTCTCACCTTGTCTGACTCCTCTCCCCCCCCCCCCCCCCATCTGACGCTGATCTCACCTGACCCTTACCCTGCTTGGCCCCTGTCTCACCCCTGTCTGACATCTGACCGGACGCCCAGATTGCGGCGTCTGCAGTCGTCCCAGCCGGCGCATGTACTTGTGACGGCTCAGCTGGCGGCCGAGGGTGCCGCCTGGCCGCCGCTGGCCGACGGTGGCCGTCAGCTGTCCGCCGGCGAGCTGCTCAAGGACCACGCGCCCCGCAACGGTGCCCCCATGACGTAGGTACGAGGCCGACAGTGACGGTCCGCTCGGTCCGATCGTTCTGCATTTTTCGTGACGTTGCTCGCGCGAGTGGCGTAGTGGCGCAGCGCAGTGTTCGATGGAAGCGCGCGGTGCTTCCCAGTGTGAACATGCGGTTGCGGACTATTGGCTGCCAATGACATTTTTCGTGATGTGCTCGGTCCCCCCCCCCCCCCGCAGGATATTGCGCCGAGGGCACTGCACGGCCTCTGTTTGACTCCCGCCCGCTGCTGTTGCCTCGGGAGGGGTCACCGTGGCTTCGATGACCGTGGTCACCGTGGAGTGGTCACCTTGGCGCCGACTCCGCCGACATCACTCCGGGCTGGCCAGGCCGCCCGACTCGTCGCGTCGCCGATGTGACGTCACTCGTCACCCTGTGACGTCACGCCTCGTCACCGACCGACATCTGATATGTAATCCGCCGTCCCGGTGTCACGATTGCCTAGTCAGATGCCAGTTACACTGTTCTCTGCGTGTGCTGCGTTGCGCGGCCGTCCCCTCAACGAGCAGTTCGCGCGTTTGCTGCAGTGTGGCGCTGGGATCGCGCTTGTCAGTTTTGCTACCGATTTTTAGCGGCAGCTTTGTGGCGTGGCGCTGCTCGGAACGCGTTAGTATAGAGGAGGGACTGGATCGCGCCGATAACCCCTGTCTGCCCCTCGCGACCGGCAGCGCCACCCCGGCGGCGGTGGTCGTCGCCCTGCCAGCCGTATCAATCAGCCGGTGACGCTACCGGCGTCTGTTGTGCTGCGCTCACCGCTTTATTCGAGTTTTGTTACGTTTACCGGGCTTTGGGCGTGTGTAATAGCTATTGCGGCGCGGCGCATCAATGCGACGGTGCTTATTAACACGTGAGTGGCGTGAAGTGGCAGCTTCAAGCGTGCACGGGCGGGGCCTGACGGGGCGGGCCACTGCGCCGCCGGGAACCTGCCGGGGCAGGTCGTCTGCCCCTGGCAGTGCGGGCTGTCACCCCGGGCGGTGCGAGCCGTCACCCCGGGCGGTGCGGGCCGTCACCCCGGGCGGTGCGGGCCGTCACCCCGGGCGGTGCGGGCCGTCACCCCTGGCGGGGCGGGCCACTCCGCCGCCGGGAGCCTGCCGGGGCAGGTCGTCTGCCCCTGGCAGTACGGGCTGTAACCCCGGGTGGTGCGGCCGGACGACTGATACCTGCCCTGATGTGCCGCTGTCCGGCGTCAGCGTGTGTGGCTGTGGCTGGCGCCAAGACGACGTCCTAAGGATCTGAATACAGCACTTGGCGGACGTCAGGTCTAAGTTTCGGTCCGCTACCGGCTCCGGTCTTCAGGACTGCAGTACCTGGTGTAGAACCCATGGACGTGGTGGCAGGGTGCGGGGCACGACCCCCACTCCCCACCCAACCCTACCCACGCATTATGCGGGGAAGTTGGGCAACAACGTTAATGTGAAGAGTGTAAGCAACGACACAAGCATGAGGCTTGACCACTCGCGTCGCCTTTCTAGGGCGTTCCGACATTGCTGGCGGGATTGTCGCCTTTGGTCAGAATGGTGGGGATTACTAAGTTATTCCATAAAGCGCGTAGTGGCCAAGGTCACTAGTGCCGGCATATCTCACATCGGTTGCAGCGGAGAAGGCAAAAGCGAGGCCGGTAGCCAGGCTTGAACCTGCGGCTCGGACCACTCGTTGGCGAATGCCCCCGCTAACAGGCACGTGCATTCCCAGTCGTCTGGGGAGGCGACATGCCCAGACTGTCGTCTGGGGAGGCGGCCTGCCCTAACCATCGTCTGGCGGGCGGCCTGTCCTAACTGTCGCGCATCGCACTGGCAAAGGCCGCCTTAAAATCAGACGTGCTGGATTCCACTCCCGTATTGTCTCTTTCTGAGCACATTATTTTGCAAGCGGTAGGCAACACTTGCAGTAGGCGGTTTTGTTCCAGCGAAGGTCGCGCTTCGGTGTTAGATGAATAGCTCCATGAGCTATGTACCACAAGCTGAGCATCTTTTAACGTCCCTCACTCCTCTCATCACTCCTCACTCCGCTTATCACTCCTCTACATCACTGCCGCTTGCCAGAGAATGGCATGGCTTTTTTAAGCAGTTTTGAGTAGGGCAGGGCAAATCTTAATATGGCGTATGCGATAGGACGGTTTCGAGACACGGATTCTCCTACCCTGCCTCGCTATTCCGGTTCCTCAGATTAGGATTAGTCGTGTTGGTATTCACACGAAAACGAAAGCAAAATGCTAGGCACTTTCACTGGACCTGACGGATTAAAACAAGCTGCTACTGACTAAAACAACCAAAACTAAAACAAACTGACTGCTATATGTGGCGTGTGTCGATAGTCAGAATGCCTCCAGAGGGAGAATTTCAATTTTCAAGTTCTAGGATGTGGATTTCTACAAGTAGGTGTCGGCGAAAGAAATGACGCTCCTATGAAAATGTACAAATACAATAGAATTGCATTTCGAAACTTCCTAGATATGCTATCATCAATTCTCAGAATCATGTCTGGTGGCTTGAAAATTAATCATTGGTGAAACACAATCAAAACGTGGAGCATGCAAAGTCGCGTTCATAATATTTCAAGACATGGTATGGGTTTCCTTACCTTCCGGTTGCACTATGTCGACAAACACTCAGCAAAGCATAACCTATCTTTTATATAAACATGTACATGTATATATATATATATATATATATATATATATATATATATATATATATATATCTCTCTCTCTCTCTCTCTCTCTCTCTCTCTCTCTCTCTCTCTCTCCTCTCTCTCTCTCTCTCTCTCTCTCTCTCTCTCTCTCTCTCTTCTCTCTCTCTCTCTCTCTCTCTCTCTCTCTCTCTCTCTCTCTCTCTCTCTCTCTCTCTCTCTCTCTCTCTCTCTCTCTCTCTCTCTCTCTCTCTTGCTCTTTCTTCTAAAAGACGACAGGAGGAAATCCTTCATTTAAAAAGTGGTAAGACAGCGAGGAAAATTTCTGGTTAGTGTGAGGATATTTGGTTGAGCGTAGGATTATTTTCCCCACTTAACACACGCTCTGGTTGGGGTTCAAATTGCCCCCCCCCCCCCGAAGGTTTTTCCTAGAATGGTTCCCGAACGGCGCAGCGCAGCCGCGCCAAATTCTTATAGCTGTAAGCAATTGAATGGCACATCGTTTGGCATAAAAAACTTAGAGGTACCTTGTAAGGTCGCTGACCTATGGCAGGTCAAAGTCAGGCCATTTCAGCGAAGTCAGTTTTTAGGGAATCGTTCAATCTGGTGTAACAACGGCGTTTTAGACGAAGCCATGCACCTCTGGGATGCTTTCTTAGGCAACGTAAATATTGAAAGAGTAAATTACGTTGACTTAAGGTCAGGCATAAAGGTCAGACCAAGGTCAAAACCGACCTGTTTTGTTACTCTATGGCTTGCTGTATGGGATAGTTTCTGGTGCTCATTTCTAATTCATTTATAGCAGGAACCGCATTACACATCTCCCCTGGACCTTTAGAGGCCAGAATAGGTAACTGACCTAAAATGAACCATGAATGGCCTAAAACATGTTGTTTTCAGAAACACACCGCCTAGCGTTTTCTTTGTCGCTTATTCAAATGCAAAACTCAGCAGTCTTGCATGATTTTGGTCACCATGACCTTCAAAAGGTCATACAAGGTTACTGACCTTAATTGAGTATGTGACCTCTTGCTTAGAAACAGTTATCTAGGTTCTGGAGACACTATGGAGACCAAGATGGAATTTGACCTTGTTTGACCTTATTTGACCCAAAGGTCATGACCTACGAACCTCAAACTTTGACTAGAGGGAGTTCACGTACAGGTCAACACACCCTGGGAATTTGGTGTCTCTAGCTCTCTTAGTTCCCAAGATCTCAGGGGGAGGGGGCAAATTGACCCCCACCCGAGCGAAGGGTATCTAGCCGGCCACCCAGGCGCGTGTCAACATGTTATAAGCCCTGTTGAACAGCACCTTGGCACAGTAAGGACTCCAAACGTCTACTGAGGAAATCTTGGAGCTATCTTGGCAAAATTGACACCAAAAACCGTCCTACCTAGCGTATCAAACCTACACGTCCTACCAAGGCCTTGCCAAGTGTGCTGGGTTAAAGGATGATAGCTGTACACTTCAATTTTACTCTTTACGGGGGAGGGGGTGAATTCTTATAAAATGAGTCGAGGAAGATGCTGGGCAGTGAAAGTGACCCAGCCTTTCTGTCGAAATATGCCAATAACAGGTTTCTGCCCAGATCTGGCCCACTTTCTTCTCAAAGTTGGTGGGAGGGCTGGAGCCCAGTTTGGGCGGTGGGGGTTGGGGGTGGGGAGGTAGGGTACTGACGCCCCTCCCCAACTGAATAAGCAACTATCCAAGATGGCACCTTTGCCTCTAAGGCAGACACTATCGGTTCTTTACTGCGGCACGAGGCAAGTGCCGCAGTGGCGGACCATCGTCGTATTTGCTGCATTCCTTAGCGGGCAATAGTTTTGGCCTGGGAATGTGCTCTCCCCCTGCTCATATACCTCATAATGAAAACCCTTTTTGATATTTTTTATTGCAGAAGAAGACACAGCAGTCACCCAGGCTGGCCGTCACACAAATAACCCCAGCACCCACATTGCGCTTCCCTATGTTCTACGTTGCTACGCTGGTCCCTGTGTGTGCGTGCAAATCGTCCACCTGATATCTACAAACAGAAAGGCAGCTAAAAGGACCACGCGGAAGAAAATCACTAACGGAACGCGTACGCGTGGAAGTGGAATCAGAGAAAAAAGGGCAGAGACAGGTACCATGTAGCATTTGTAACACTGGCAGCAGCCCAGTGATGTCTGTCAGTAAATAGATTAAAAGCGGTGCATGCACGGAATGCTCCCCAACCGTTCAGGGTTAGGTAGACCTGAGGCTTATGCGTACTAATTTATCATTGTTTTCCGTACTTTTCTCAATGCTTCGGTCCCAGCATGAGCCGGAACGTTCCAACATGCCACACAACCGAGTTTTTTTTGTCAATATCGCGCAGTACGAGCTACAAATTCCCCCGCCCCCAAAATCTTGCCGAAGAATCTCGCCCAAAGCGCTGAAAAGGGCACGACGAATACAAGAACTAGAATCATGGCGCGGTTTTTCCCTAAGCACCTCGCCCCTGCTTGGCGTGGACTCGACGTGTGGCGTCCTCCGTCTGGCAGGCGCCGCCAGAGCTCTGCAGCGTGGCCTGCTTCGCCCCGCCAGCGCCTGACGCCGCCGCCATCTTGGCCGCCTTGGTGGTGACCATCCTAGGCAGATTAGACGAACTTGACAGCGGCGCTGAAGCCGCGGTACCAGCCGTAGTTACCGGATTTGAACTTGACGACCATCTTGTTTCCAGCGGAGGTGAACGTCTGGCCCGTGAGTTCCGCGTCGCAGGCCTTGACATCGTCGTAGTGGATGTCGCCGGAATGGCGCACGGTCAAGTAGTCCCAGGGGCAGCTGCCCCCATACCGGTACAGCATCTTCATGTCGGTAACGCTCAGCTCGACCTGCTGGTTCTCGGGGGCCGTGATCACCCAGAAGCAGACGACGTTGCGCGGGAAGTTCGCTGGATAGTTTGGCGAGGTAATGGTACCCTCGTCCGTCATGTCTTCGTCGCCGCACGCCAGCTCGCCGTAGTAGTCCTCCGTCTCCGACTCGCAGTTGGCGCCTTCCGTGTTGTGCGGACACACGCACGTGCAGTCCTTGCCGACGAAGCCACCGTTCAGGCACGTTGGTTTGCTGCTGCAGGCATCGTCGCATTGGTACATGGCGTTGATGATGTGCTTGTCGCGGTGCGAGAACCCACCGCGTGTTCCAATCAGGCCCTCATACAGCACGTTCTTCACCTGGATCGTGTCCTTACCGTTGGAGCTGAAGTAGGTGCTGCCGTAGTGCATCACCGACGTCAGGTCGTACGGCACCGAGTAGTTGTCAGAACTGCTGCTTATGCGGAAGTTGCCCTCCTTGCCTGACTTGATGTTCTCGAAGTTGATCTGGACGTACGTGTCGCGGTCGGGGCGCGACTGTTGGTGGTTGAGGCCCATGGCGTGGCCAATCTCATGAGCCACGGTGCCCAGGCTGGTGCAGCCGTTGCCGATGCTGATGCGCTGGCCACCCGAGCTGGTGATCTGGCCGATATATGACCAGCAGCCGCTCGACTTGACGAAATTGATATGTGGCGTGGACGAGCCCTCGGACACCTCGTCGAACTCAATGCAGGAATGGTCGCGCCAGTGCTGGATACCGGCCAGGATGGCCGCGCGGTCGCCCGCCGAGCTCGAGCTGATGGCGAAGCTGACCGGGCTGGTCCAGAGGTTGCTGGCGGCCTGCCGGTTCAACCGCTGCTCCTCTGTCAGCACCATGTCCGACTCGAACAGCATGTCCCCGAAGTCGGTCGTCTCGGGGTTGCGGTACTCGAAGAGGTCGTCTGCAGGTCCCAGCGGCAGACCCTCGGGCTTCGGGCCCTCCGTCACCACCTGTTCCTGGGGCCCGTCAGTCACCACCTGTTGCTGCTGGTCGACTTGACGCGATCGCGGCCTGGCCGCAGCCAGCGCCAGCAGAGCCAGGACGACCGATGTCTTCATGGTGTCGAACTCCGGAGATTGATTCCGGTCCGGTAGCGATCGGCGCATTTTATTTTCCCGCGGCGGGGGGGGGGGGGAGGCTGCAGCGATGTCCTCACCGTAGCTCGCGCACCTGCGAGTTGCAGCTCAGCTCGGCAGAAAAACAGCAAAAAATGCGTGCCGGCAAGTGGCGGTGCTGCATTGGCCAGGGGACTCGGCTATACACTGGGTCGCCCCCAGTTGCAATGGGACAGATGCTGGGACGGCGTTGCCACACGGGTTTCTTTCACCGATTCCTGCATCCACATGTTTTGCGCAGAGGTCGCACATCTGTACTGTCGGGTGACAATACCGTTACGTTACAGCAGGTGCTCCACCCGAGGTGTGCCTTTGAGTAAAGGCATTTCGCAACAAAAGCCGAAAAAGACAAAAACTGTATTGATCTGGGTATAGCTGGGTCAATGCAGCTTTTGACACAGCTTTACGCCGATACAGCATCACTATTCGATAGCTTAAATTATTGAAATCTCGCTAATGATGCCGGGATCCGACAGTGTGGTGGTTAAGCTGCACGCTATTTTGAAAAAAAGGAAGATTAGAAACTGAGTGGCAATAACTGCAAGCACAGCGACGGGGCTGGCACGACCTAGCAGTGTATTTCTGCAACGCTGTAATATCACCGCTGTTTCGCGCCACACTCCAGTGATATAACTCTCATACCGTGGAAGAGCTCAAGTTCGCCGATCGGAAGCAGGTCCAGAACTTGGCGACCAGACATTGCAGTGGCATGAAATCAATGCTGATGGAGAAGACAATGGATAATAACACTAGGAAAAATTGTTGGTCGGTGGGTGCAGACTTCAATGCAGAAATGTGCGTAAGCCATAGATCCATCCGTTTTCGTACATGTCAAGGGGCTGGCGTTAGAAACGTCGGTCAGGGCAGGTCAAGATGTAAGGCTGGAGACGTCGTTTAAAATTCACCCCAGCGATCCAAAGGCGACAAATATTCTAGCAACGTCATCTATCCATGTGCACGTGACCGTTACGCATCAGTGCTTCTGCGTCTGCCAAACACATGAACGAAGGATATACCAATGCCTTGACAAGTGCTATCCGCAGGAGATTCTAAAATGCATGGTTCGATCGCCTGTTTTCTGGTATCATCCACGCGTGGCGCTGACGACCGGGTCTACTATTTCTCCGTGCGCCCACGCTGTATGTGACGTCTTGCCGACAATTAGTGGCATCAGCACTAACTTAAACGCTGCTGTTAGCTTGTGATCCTCACAAAAAACTAGACAGCTTTGAAACGGTGAGACATCCAGATGTTTTTTTGCGGAATCGATGATCCTAGATGATTTCTGCTTCTTGTTCTGCCAACTTTATAGCTCAAGGATATCAGCTTGAGGTGACAGTCTGCCGTACGCCGCAGCATTTTGCTACCAACGCTTCGACGTAATCAATTTCTATTCTTTATTCCAATTCGTAGAGCGCTGAGCTGACCGATCAACGAGATCAACATCGTTACGGCCGACGTTCGAGCGTCTAACTCCCTTTTTAGAGCCCCGTTCCTGGCACGAGAGTTTTATTTGTTCTCAACAGATCTCCATGAGAGCGGTTTGTGCAAGCTGTTGGCGGTTTGGCGGCTTTCCCGCTCCGGCTGGGATATTTCACCATCCGCTGGGATATTTCACCATGAGAGTGGTGTTAGTGAGAATGGTAGTTCCCCCGCTACCTCGCATTTGACCTCTCGTGACCTTTCCTTCGCGTTGAAGGGTAAAAACATGGAACGGCAGTCGATAGCCCTGACCAATTTCACGGGAGAGGTCGTTGACATGGCGATGACATCCGTCACGCGACTGATGACATCACAGTTCATGTCAGATACCGTAGAAATTATCGCAACCCTCAAGGAGACTTCAGGGTCTAAGGCTTAATGGTTTGTGTGGGGTCAAGATCATGCCAGTTTACGGTCAGGTCACCTGATCGGACAAAAATTTCTGCTATGCCAGCTCGCATTGCATATATGTTTGTTATTGGCTTGAACCATTAGTGATAGCGACTTGTGCCCGCCCGGCAGGAGAGTTGCCCTCCCCTCCTGGAGCTTGTCGAATACAATTCAAAAACAAACGTTCGCAGCGGCACCAATTTTTCGGTATCCGTTTATCTATTAAATTGGGATTATTTGTGGGAATTTGAAGATTTGATCCATCAAGATCAGTGACCCAAGTCAGGTCAAAGCGGTCAATCTCTAAACAACTTTGATCACACATAATTTGTTGTGGGTCATTAGTCGTTGTTCAAACTTGTCGCTGCAGTTGTAGAATGTGATAGTACGCACAATTTGAATGCTTCAGATTTTCAAAACGGATGAGTTTAGTGACCTAAAATCCGGTCAAGTTTTGCTATTTTTCATGAAATATAATGCAAATTCGTATATATCTTTGTGTAGTTTTGGTGTTCGCATATTTCGAAAAATATCAAATTGCATACATAACCATCATGCGACCACCGAGCACATAACCTTGCCCCGGTCATGGCCTACCACAATGGTTGGCTTCTGCGCACATGCTGGTCTCAAAATAAAAAGTCTTAATACGCAAGTTTGAAAGGAGAATTCGGATACTTCACTGAAGACATGTTCGGAATGCTGGCACATAATGAGATCACAATAGGTCACGTGAGGGCAACAAAATCATATGAGTTCATCAAGGTCAGCGATCTGTGTTTTCAGTAGCGACGATGCTAGATTAACGAACGTGACGTTTGTAACCACTTCTTCATCGTGTTTATGAAGCTGATGCGATCTTGGGTACCTGTAGATGTACAACACACTATCTGTAACCATAACAAAGCATTGTGCTGGTCACATGGATCCCGCTAGCATTGTTGACATTGCAGTTGGATGATTTATAGATTTAACGTAAGGTGACATTAGATGATCTCTAAGTCAGCCCGCAATGACATTTCTGTGTCTAGAATACTTTTTCTCACAGTTGCATCTAAGAAAATGAACTTAGAAGCACATTGTGAAAAAGTATCGGTCTCGAAAGGCTACAGGTAGACAAATTTTGAACGGTCACCTTATCTCACCTGACAATTGTGAGGAAATAGAACTGGGCTCTGCATAGTCTTAACGCTTATTTCTGAACCCTAGATATCCATCATGGAGTGTTGACGTAGGTTTAAACTGCATGTACCCGAACGAACGCTTTTGACATTTTGTGACCTCTGGTGACCCCATATTTGACCTAAGGCTAAAAACTGTGTCTACATTTTTCATGTTTTGGCGAGACCTTCACAACGGCATCTTCCTTTTTCTTATATGGTGTCTGGAAAATGAGATCCTGGGTGGGAAGTCAGCTTGCCCCGGCCGGCGCGGTTGTCTCAGACCCCCGGCCGGCGCGGTTGTCTCAAACTCCCGGCCGGGCGCGGTTGTCTCAGACCCCGGCCGGGCGCGGTTGTCTCGGACCCCCGGCCGGCGCGGTTGTCTCAGACCCCTGGCTGGGCGCGGTTGTCTCAAACTCCCGGCCGGGCGCGGTTGTCTCAGACCCCCGGCCGGCGCGGTTGTCTCAGACCCCCGGCCGGCGCGGTTGTCTCAGACCCCCGGCCGGGCGCGGTTGTCTCAGACCCCCGGCCGGCGCGGTTGTCTCAGATCCCCGGCCGGCGCGGTTGTCTCAGACCCCCGGCCGGCGCGGTTGTCTCAGACCCCCGGCCGGCGCGGTTGTCTCAGACCCCCGGCCGGCGCGGTTGTCTCAAACTCCCGGCCGGGCGCGGTTGTCTCAGACCCCCGGCCGGCGCGGTTGTCTCAGACCCCCGGCCGGCGCGGTTGTCTCAAACTCCCGGCCGGGCGCGGTTGTCTCAGACCCCCGGCCGGGCGCGGTTGTCTCAGACCCCCGGCCGGCGCGGTTGTCTCAGACCCCGGCCGGCGCGGTTGTCTCAGACCCTCGGCCGGCGCGGTTGTCTCAGACCCCCGGCCGGCGCGGTTGTCTCAGATCCCTGGCCGGACGCGAATGAACACAAAAGGTGTAATAAACACTTTGGCTTGACACAATGTGTCCCCAAATGATCTCCAGCCAGATATGTGCCTGGGTTCCAACACTGGTTCCCGGTTCCGGCTCCCACTGTCCTCTCATGATAACAGCGCGCCCTGGATCCCGGCTCCGACTGTTTTTCCTTTTTAGTAGACGCCAGCACCATATTCCTGGATCCATTGGATGCCTTGCAAGTACTACACCCTGGTTCCTGGCTCTTACTGGCTCATTTTTGCAATCACCAGGTGCGAGTTACTAGTCCTGCCTGGCTGCTTTACAAACACCAGACCCTGGATCCTTTAGCGTGTGACCCATCGTTGCTGCCGCCAGCTGACGGCCCTTGTTGCTGATCGCCGTCGCCGTGTACTCCTACGGCCCTTGTTGCTGATCGCCGTCGCCGTGTACTCCTACGGCCCTTGTTGCTGATCACCGTCGCCGTGTACTCCTACGGCCCTTGTTGCTGATCGCCGTCGCCGTGCACTCCTACGGCCCTTGTTGCTGATCGCCGTCGCCGTGTACTCCTACGGCCCTTGCCAGTTCTCGAGTCGCCTTTGACATACGGTGTTTTGCTGCTTTTAATTTGTTTCAAACAGTTCTGCCAGTGATATGGATTTTGCATTCAGATGGGGAAGGTCCGGGATTACGCAATAAGTTCTGCCAGCGTCAGTTCTGATCCCGGAAATCCACCCAATGAAAGGCTCGCATTAGTCCTCTACATGCTAGTTTTTTAGGCAAGGACCTAATTTGGTATCAAATCTGAAATGCACGAAAAGTGCTGTAAGCATGAGCGAGGCCGATGGTTGGTCTTCGGGACTGTCAATTTAGCCCTGGTATTTCATGCGGTTTTTTATTGCATCACGTACTTATTGGCCATTTCACGCCTACCGCGCGGCGTGATTTGGTCTCATGAAGTCAAGCGTGCTCACTACATAGCGCGGCGCCGAGGTGCGTGTAACATAATGTGACGAATGATGAGTTTCGTCGC